ACTGCTTAAAACTGTGCAAGAGTATATAAAAAATTGTTGTTTAATTGAAAATATGGAATTAACTTCTAATTATGTTTATAAAAATTGATCCCGTTATTAATTGAACTCCCACATCTTTTTTCAAAATAAAATGTTCTTCTAACATTCCTCTTTGATCTGTAAAATAAATTAGTTATGAAAATGTAATTTTACAAGGGCTTATATTTTTAAATTATAACACCTAAATTAAGAAATTTAAACAACAGTACACTTATTTTATTGGACCTAAAAATTATCTAATTTTCAACAAAAATTAATATTAAATGGTCTAGAAGGAACTACCAAAATATAATAGATGGTTACGGACTCAAGAGGATTTTTAACTAAAAAGGAACTTAAAATAAAATTCTGAAGAAGTCACCTGAACTTCTTTTTATGTTTTGTTACACTTTCCAACCACTCAAAATGCGTACACCTTCCTATGCATATATAAGAAAAATGAAATTGTAAAAAATTAAATGAAAATTTTTAATTTATTAACTTTTCCGTTTTGTTTTCATTTTTTATTCAAAACAAAAAATTCTTTAAGAGAAATTCTTTTCTACGTGTATACTGAAACCGTATGGGAATTTTGACTTCTTAAGGAAGTTGAAATATTTTTTCTAAGTATAAGGAAGGGTAATACATTTGAAATTTAAGTAATTTTTTCTTAGTATTTATTGAAATCAAAAAAAAAAAATTGAAAATAAAAATTATTGGAAAATAAGCACATTTTAACTTTAATATTATTATTTTGGTAATAATTTAAAATCAAAAATAATTTACTTTGTCTTGAATGTTAACAGGTGGGAGGGGGGCGAGGGAGTAGGAATGCAAATATCCTAAAAAATATTCATTTCTTTCAATTTTAAAAAATCAGGTTAATTTCTTAAAAACTGAGAATTTTTTGTTTTGAATGTTCAGCACCTATACTTCAAAACATATTCAGAAAACATTAACAAAGTAGAGCTAAATCAATATGAGTAAGTTTAGCGCTGAGGAAAGGAAAGCTTTATTCGTAGTAGAATTTAAATTTATAATTTTTTTTAAATTTTATTTTTTAAAATGATCAGTTTTGGAATTTAAGCAAAATTTAGCTCTGAACAATGGTAACTGCCCCTCTATTGACGGACCAAAAAAATTAGCAGTAGTACACAAACATAATGAGTTGCAGTTACTAAGTTTTTAAAAGTTAAATTTTATATTTTTATACTTATGTAAGAATTTTGACAAGCAGTCTGAAATTAATAAACCCAATTTTATATTTTTATTTTTCAAAAATATTTTTATAGAAAAAAGTATTGTTACATTTCTCGCGCCATTTTTCTTTCGTTGCACACCAACATTCTAAGGCACTCAAATTTTAAGAGAATGCTTGTAAAAGTTTAAAATTTATGTTTTCTTACAAAATCGGAATTTTTTTCTGTTTTTTTTTCTTTTGAAATTCCAATCATGTAACGTTATAATTTAAAAAGAAAACGTGAGCGTATTTTGTACTTATAAAAAGCTTAAATACTTTTGATTCACCGTTATGCGTTTTTCAAAATTATGATTTGATTTTTTAAGGCTGTTTTCGGTTTTTTTTGTTTTTGTTTTTCCTTTATTTTCTGTACTTAATATTTTCATTGTATTTCTTTTTATGTTCATGGTTTCTTTAAGGATAACGTTACATTTTTCAAAAAGTTTCGTTGTTTTTTTTCAATTGTTTTTCGTATTACAAATACATATACAATAAGAGTTCCAGGTTACATAGGGTATTGTGAGAAATTAACTTAAAAGTTACTTTAATAGAATTTCTAATTATTATTATGACATTTTTTTATTATTATTATTCATAGAGATGTGCTATAATATATTTGGGTATTTATTATTTTAGAATATACTACAGGACTGAGTATTATACAAAAAATAATTTTCCCTAAAGAGCATTCTTTTCTTTTTTAGAATTCCCAAAAATTGATTTATATAAAAATTTTTTTTGGTCTGTTTTTTTTTAAAATAAATTGTAAGATTTCCTTTTATTTAAAACAAAATACAAAATTTGTGTCCTTTACACGATTCAATTTGAATTTATTAAAAATATGTAAAAAAAAATTATACGTGATATTTGGTAAAACAGATCCTTTGTCCTTCAATTATATATTATAGTTATTTATGGAAATTATAAATATGCCAGTATACAAAAATGTTGTATTTTTGTATATTAGAAACCACAAAAATATTTTATTTTTCATAAATACGTAATTAAATAATTGGGTTAATGTTATCAGTAGAGGATAAGAAAATGTTTATGAAAGAATATTAGTTGCTATGTCACGAAATAAATCCGAAGAAATACCAAGATTATTTTGTTTTTTATTTTATTTTAGTACTTTACTATTTTGTCATAATAATCACAATTTAATTCCTATAAAAAATTTTCGAATATAAAATATTTGATTAAAAGAAACCTTTCTCAAAAATATTCTTCTACTCTTTAGTTAAGTATTAACTTTGTTCTATATTCGATGTGTTCTGTTATCGATATTTCTTGATTTAATAATTCTCGCGATTTTCCAAATTCCTTTGAAATTTTTTCTTTAATTTTTTCTTTCTAACAAAAATATAAAAATTTTCTATTAAAATAATTATAGTTGGCAACCCTTCATACTTTAAAAAAATTCGCGTAATCACACGAAAAATAAAAAATGTAACAAAAATGAAGAGGAGAGAAAAAAGATTACAAGTAGGCAACAGAAATCTTAAAATGTTCATTGATTCAGAAAATTATATTTTATATTGAAATAGCTAAGCTAGTTAGTTATTTTGATTCTATCCTCTTATATAAACATTTTATAATAATTTTTACTCTAGAATTTTTTTATATTGCCACGCATGAAGTGTGCAAAGTATATGATTTCGGAATATTGTTTTTTTTTTTGTTTTCTGTACATCATATACGTACATAATATTGAAAACGTTTACACTTTTCCATAATAATCACTTATAATAATTTTATTTTTTGAAGCGATAAATATGCACAGGATTAAATCATAATTTATATTAACAATAATAATACCAAAGGATTAGATCAGATTTTATTTATTTAATTTATACAATGTGTAATAGTAAATGATTGTTTGTTATATAAATTTATTTTCTATGTAATAATTGGAATATTGTGTGTTTATTAGACTTTAAAGTTTAAATTGAATTACGTATTACACGATAAAACAATTTTTAAGAACTTTGTACTGAAAACAAATAAAAACTAAGTTGGGTCAAGCCAATGGTTTGTGTATGGGTTACGTTTAATAAGTAAAAATATACTTTTCCAAAATAGTTATATTTTCCGAAATATTTCAAATGATTGCATACATCCAGGATGAAACAAAAAATATTTAAAACATAGCGTTAATAATAACGGTTAAATTCAAGGGTAAAATTAAAGTCGTCTCAATTAATAATCGCTCTCTAAATACTGCCACATTAAATTTGCTGTAATTTGAAAAACTCATTCTCACTTTTAAATTTAAAATTCCTCACTCGACAGTAAATTTACAAACCATTATAAGAATAAATATTATTGTTCACTATTTTAATGGTGATCACAAAACTATTTTGCGTTCTTTATCTCTTATAATTGCTATGAAGAATGATAATATTGTGCATCAATTAAAACACACATGTTATATTTTCAAATTTGATTAGTTTATTTAATTAAAAAATTAAGTATTTTTGTGAAAAAAAATCTATACCAATATTAATTTAGCGTAAATTTTAATTTGATTATTTTTTTAATTAAAAAAATTAAATTAAACAATTTAAAATTAATTGGATACTTTATAAATTGCATTATGTTATAATTTTTATAAACTCGTTTCCTATATGAAACTATTTAATTATCATAATATTCTGTATTTTTTTTTAATTTTAAATATCTAATCTATATGTGTAATCGTATGTAATATATAAAAATTAAATTAAAATTATTTAAATTGCTCAAAATTTTTAGCTATGAAAATATTTTTCTATATTATTATGATGCTATACAAATTTTGGAAAATTATAAAATCAATAAAATTTTATGAATGTTTTAACATTTTGAAATGTTCTATAAATATATACTTTTTAGTACAGCCATTGCACGTTCAATAGATTTGTAAATTTGTTTTTGATAGAAAGCTACTGTACAGCTGGACATAGTTATCTGCTAGTAGAAGTGCTTTTTTTGGAAATGAATTTAATGGGGTTATTATGGTTCGCGAAGCGAATATGTTCTCGAAGCAAATGACTTACTAGAATATTCGCCGAAATTATTTTATGGTTCACGAACAGATGAATTTACTAGGAAAAAGTCGTTGTTATCGAGATTTCAAAAAAAATTACAAATTCAAAAAGTATGAAAATATAAAAATACAAATATTTTTCCAAAATTTTTTGTTTAATTAATATTTTAACATTTTTCATTTATGAAATAAATGAAAAAATGTTTTCATTGACTGCCGATTTATTCTATTATGATGTAACCATACACCAGTAACAGTAGTAAAGACAAGAAAAATGCAAATATTGGAAGTATACGATGATACATAAGGGATCAATTAAATCCAGAAAATGCATTACCAGAAATCGAGTCAGGATAATTGCTTTCCATTAACTCTATTAATTTTGAAAATTGATATTTGAAATTTTTTAGTTTTGAAGACTAAAAATTTGATTTTTCAAAATTTTTAAATGAAAATTGTTTTTCAAACTTAATATTTCAGGATAATCATTAATTTTATTATACCAAAAAAAAATAAAATCACAAATAACGACAGATGAAAGCAATATCAAAAATACCTGCTGCTATGCCGAAAAAATCACAAATTTTTCCTCAAAGTTTTCAAAATTTTACTTTATAACTAAAAACAAAAAAATTTCTTACAATACTCTTATTTCTTACAATACAATAATTATTAATAATTAGTAAATTAATTTTTCTTTTTCTCTTTTTAAAGGATCAATAAGTAATATTGATGATGCCGAATATCATTGTAACAAAACACAAGTAAGAAAAGTGATATCAGGTGTAGTTGGTGCAGCATCTTCAGTTACTTCAATACAAGTTGCAAATTTATTACGTTTATTTCGAATACCACAGGTAAATAAATACTTTGATTATATTTTTAAATAAATATATTATGTATGTATATAAATGTACACAAAATTTCAACACGATACTGTTATAAATGTTTCTTATGCATGAAATTTAAAATTCATTGCTAAATTAATAGAAGAATTTAAAATTTTTTTATCAAAAAAAAAACCCCGATGATTCTTAACTCAAAACTAAAGTACAATTATTTAAGAATGACAAACAAAGTTTTAGGGAATGACAGAATGAAAATTCGAAGGAAACAAATAATATATATGATTATTAAATTTATATATGTATAATATAATTACATAAAAGTACCTACAATACACGTTAGTACATTTACATACATCGAAAAATTATACTTATCTCGCCCTGTTTAGAAGAAATATACAACAAGAATAAACATAATGAAATTGTACAAAGAAACTGAGATTTTATTGTTCATCCTTTAAGAATTAAACTTTTTCTTCTCTTCTTTAAAGAGAGGAAATATATTGAAAGACGTATCTCAGTAACATACTTACACAAAAATGAAAGTATGAAAAAGTTTTCTAATTAATAAAACAATACGAGTATAAGATTCTTCTAAACAAATACCTAAAATACACAGTATAGATATATGTATGAAGCATTAATATAAGGCGTAAATAAAGCTAAAATATTATAATAATTCCAATGTATCATAGGATCAACTTAAAAATTTTTCCAAATTAATAAATTTATTTCAATTCATAAATCAAAAAATTGAAATATCATTAGCATTTAAGAATTGTGTTAAATTCTACCGGAAGAATCACAAACAAAAACCGAAAGAATTGTGTATTGTTGCAAAAGATCTAAATACAGTTAAGGGTTTCATAATTTTAATTTTCTGCTTGTTTTCTAAATTCGGCAAGACGTAACATTGTCTTTATGATAAGAAACCAAAGATTGTAAAAACATACATAGAAAAAACATTGTATTCAAAAATTTATTAATTCCAGCTCAGTGAATTAAAGTCGAAATTTATAAAAATGAATTTTAAGTAAATTATAAAAGTGCACAATTTGCTTGCCTTTCTATGAAATTTAAGCCCAAAAACGGAACTGCACTTCTGGCCTATTTTTAAATTTAGGGATACTTGAAAAAACAGATGATCAGTTTACTTCAAGTTATAGTGCCCAAAAATAAGATCATCGCAGTATTTTGTTTTTTTTTTGTTATAATACCAGCAAGCAGCTCAAATTTATAATAAACAAGGCATAACTACCTATTTTAGCCGAAATTTTCGTGTAAAACTTAATATTAATGTTTAATATAGATCTTATATGAGAAATATTGTGTGACAAATCCAATTCCTTAGTACACTGCTCTTAGTACATAGTATATACTCCAATAATATCGTACGGCAATATTTAAAAAAAAAAATTACTTTAACTCTTCATTATTCACTACATAAAAGGAATTTAAAATTTTCAATCCCATCAATAATTAAAAAATAACATTTCATATTATATCATGGGAATAATTATATATGTATGCATGTTAAAAGTTAAAAAAGTTATGTAATTATATTTTTTTTTTAATTTTAATGTGGGTTAATATATTTTAAATGGAAAAAGTGTTGATTTCATAAAGACGAATTGTTAATAATTATTTTACACTTGTTTACTTTGTAATTCTAGAAAATCTTGATAAATGTTATACACGTACATATATATACTTATATAACAATATCTATACTTAGGTATGATAACTGTATTTAGGTTTATGCATATTTATAATAAATATATTAAAGTTAATTTAACTTTTAAGTTAACATAGAAGAAAAGTTGTAAATTTTTAGTACTAAAAAATCCAAGAGGCTTTCTTCACAAAGACGCTGTCAACATTTTAGAAAATTAAAGTGAAAATAACTTTAATGATAAGAAAAAAATTAATTTTTTGTTTAAAATTGATAAAGACTTCTGCCATTACAACAACATGATGAGTGTTAACAATGGGAACAGCAATTTTTGCAATAAAATAAAAAATTAAAATTTAGGAGATCTTAATCATATTGGCAAACTACTGACCAATAGTGGAAATCTGATGTAAAACACTTCGAAATACATAATATATTATGAAAATTCAAGCTTAAGAATGGTTAGATACATTTACTCAGTACCGGAAGTGTATATTTACTATGTCAAAGCAAAAAAGCACAAGCGGGAAAGCAGTCAGTCGCGTGAAGTCGGAATTAAGAAATTGGAGTTAAAAATTGAACAGTCTATTATGGGCAATGATTATAGGTTTTAAAGTTTGAAAAAAAAAAGAATTTTTGAAAAATGGATTTCTAAAATTTAAAAGGAATTCAATAAGTTTACTCGATTGCACTTCAGAAAAAAATCAAAATTCACATAAAAAAAAAATCTGGTGGGAATAGCACATAACCGACAACATTTTTATAGTATTACATAAGATTATGAAAATTTCCTTTAAAATATTTATTTAAAATTCTATAACAGATAGAAAATTGGCTTTAGTTAATGTGCTTGAAAAATGTAAATTTTGTTCTTGCTAGAGTTCAATTTCCGTGATCCGATACCGACGCAAAGTTTGCTAGTTAATTTTGTTAACAACTAGTGTCTCAGAGTATCTGATCGGAGATTCATAGACACACAGACAGGCAAACCGAAAGACACCTGTAGGTCTTTCCTGTAGGTCGAAAGTAGGTTTCCACTGAAAACTCGATATACAAAATTTGATGCCATCATATCATACCTCTCTTATTGTAACGTATACAATGCGATCGGTAATAAAATATTTAGTTTTCCTTACAAAACAAAATTAATTTTTTAGTCAACAAATTCTTATGTAATGATTTTTCTCTTATTAATTTTCAAAAGTAACACTTAAAATATTTTTAATCAAAGTAGGTGCTTTAAATTTTAAACTTTTTAGTTTAAAAGTTTTAATATATACCTATCTAGTTTTATGTGAGGACAAATAGATTAATATTAAATTAAAATTGAAGCTAAGGTAAACCATATTTTACTTAGGATTTTAAAGAAGAAGAGTAGAAAATAAAAAAAAAAATTTTTTTTAATTATACTTTTACTTTTTTCTTTAAGTTTTTTTTTTTTTAAGTTTAAAACTTTTAAAACTTTTAAAGGAAAATAATGTCGAAAAGTTTTTGACATGAAATTTACCAAAAGTTCCGGCTAAACTGATTCCGTTTTTATTGAATTTTTCCTGTGTGAATAAGGAAGAGATTTACTTTTTTCTTTATTTTTCATTTTTCACGTTTATAAATATGTGACTTACGTAGTTAAATGTATTATTAATGGACAATTGATTATCTATATGAAGAAAAGAAAAATATGAAGAAATATGAAGAAAATCAGCTTTGATAAAGTGCGTATGTAGCGCACGAAATATATTAGCGAAAAATAAAAGTATTTTATTCCGAATAAAAGGAAGTTTTCTTTTCACACCAATAAAAAAAAAAAAAAAAAAAATTATATTTCGGAAAAATTATCAACCATTGGAAAAAAAAAAAATTTTTCAATTGATTATCCCTGCAATCATGTAAAATTTTACATACTCGACTTCCATATTGGATCTGGAATACATATTTATACAATCCATTAAATTTTGTTTTTAATCAATATAAGACAATTTAATGTAAAATTTCTTATATATAATTAAATAAGTCCTTCCTCTGTAAAGCATCACTTAGCCTTTGTACAATTAGGTTTGCTTAAATGCATGTTAGAAAAATTTCAGCAGATATGTGAGCAAAACAGAGAGAAGAATTCCATTCAACTGCACAATTAATATGAATGAAAATTTAAAAATTTTCATATAAGTCCATTCTTCCGCTGGAAACAAATAATAATTTTGTATAAATAGGTTTAGTCTTGTCTCAAAGAATTGTTTTGTATATATTTGGCAAAAAATTTGATTACGTGAGTTAGGCTACTTAAGAACTGAACTTAAATTATTTAAAATAACATAAGTTGTGCACTTATCTAAAGCCACACAACTACATTAAAACATTTGGAAATTTGAATCGCAACATTTATTTTTTAAAAATTCAAATTGATTCCATTCTTTTTCGATTTTAGGTCTCATTTTTCTCAACTAGTCCTGAATTAAGTAATAAACAACGTTTTGAATATTTTTCAAGAACAATACCATCAGATCATTATCAAGTTAAAGCAATGGTTGAAATTGTTAAAAGAATGAATTGGAGTTACATATCAATAATTTATGAAGAAAGTAATTATGGAATAAAGGTAGATTTTATTAAATTTATAATTTAAATTAATTGAAAACCGCAAATATATTTTATAGGCATATGAAGAACTAGAAGAACTTTTAGCTGAAAATGAAATTTGTATAGCAGTTAAAGAAAAATTGGTTAAAGATTCTGGTGTTGCTGAAGAAAAAGCATATGATAATATCGTTCAAAAATTATTAACAAAACCGAGAGCTAGAGGTAAGTAATTTTTGTATAATTTTAGTTCATATAACAAAATAATCTAATTTTAAATGAATTAAAATTGTATTATTGGGAAAAGCACCCAAATTTTTTTAATTAGAATTAGCTCTACCCCATCATACCTGAACAAATTTATTAAAAATTTATTAAAATAAATAAAAAAGTAATTTGTAGGTACTGAACGAAGTCAATAGTACTTTGAATCAATGGGAGATTTCATTAAAAAATTTTCATTAAGAGTCCTACAATCAATTGACTTTTGTTACACATATGATTCTACCATAAAATAAATCATGAAATATTATTTGCAACATAAAACTCAATTACTTTGTAAAATTATAGATGCAGAATCACATTGTTTTAAATTTTATAAAATTAGCTACATTTACACTTTTATGATGGGATTTAACAAGATTTCTCGCACTTTTCAAAAAAAATTTTGAAATTTGCAAATTTTGAATTTTTGACACCTTATACGGACTGTAATAATGAAGTTTGAATTTAATTATATAAATGTATACAAAAATATATGTAAAATTTTTTTTCCATATAATTAACAAAGTTAACCCTTAAGGTAATAATGTTCTTTTCAAAATTAAAAAATTTTGTCAAGTTGGAAATCGTTTCAATTGAAAAATCATACTCGATTTTTCATGAGGATAAAAAAGTCCCAAATGTTCATTTCCAAATGAAATATTTCAAATTTTTGACTTAAATGTATACTAATTTAAATTGAAAGAGAATAAGATTTTTACAAAAAAACAAAAGTTGAACTGCACAACTGAATCTCAAGATAATGCACAACCACATGAATTTATAATTATATTCCCAAGAAAGTATAATGGTTTTATACTGAAAACTTTTAGAATTTTAACAAAAAAATATTTTTAAAAATCATAAAAATTATTTATTTCCAAATTACCAGACCATAAACACAATCATAATACCTACAATATTCTCCTACTTAGTATCAGAAGTTCCGATTTTTTTAATAAATTTGGAATCGAAACAAATTTCAATCAGTATTTTGTACATATATGTAGGTAATACTTGGTTGTATTTCAATGGACATTGTCATACTGTCCTCTAAGATTTAAACTTATTTTTCGTAAAACTAACAAACTAAGACATTTTTACACTATCCTCTTAAATCTGACTTTATTTCTTACTTTGATATTTCTTTCACATTTTAAATATATTAAGATTAATTATCAAATACAACAAAATTAGACAGAAAGCCCATAATTTTGTTGTCATAAATAGTACGCTTTTTCTCGATATTACCATCCATTTTTTTCTGGTTAATACTAAAAAACTTGAATCTCTGTGCAATGCTACATCAGCAACAATATATTGAAATATCAAAATAAATAAACTAATAAAAATACACTTTTACTTTAATATCCTTGCACTCCTTTGAGGAAACCATTATATTGTTGCATTATGAAAACATTATGCTCTTCCGTTATCTTTCATCTTTTCATTTTTTGTTATACAAAGAAAAAATTTGGAATTTTCTTTTTATAGTACCCCAGTGATTTTAATCAAAAATGATCTCCTTAAATACAGCAAGAGGAGAGAAATCAAAATTTAAATTGTGTAAAAATTAGTTTTTGTATCGTAAAATAAATTGCATATAAAATATTTTTTAATCAAAAAGCATTTAAAAATTTAATCTCTTTTTCATTCATCTGTTCTAGAATTATTGTACACCATCCTTAAGTATTCACTCCTTCATATAACTTTTATAGTAAATTGATTGACGGACAGTGTGAATAATTTTACTTTGTATATTAATTAGCTGGCTATTGGGCAGGGTTTTATTCTTGCCTCTGATTTTTGGACATTGTATTTCGTAGCACTATATTTTTATTACCTATTGTTAACCTAATTTCAAATTTAAATCTTTTTTCAGATGTAGTGTCAATTAAATCCTAATCGAACTTTTAACTTTAAAGGATCAAATTAATTGGCTAAATAGATCTTTGCATTATTTTATTGTTATTAAGTGTATTATAAGTTTAACATCCATTTTTCAAATGACACCTTACGCAACTTAGCTACATCTTTCTAGAAATTCAATTCAGAATTTAAAATAAAAAATAGCATAGAAGATGAAGTAAAACTTAATCAGAAATAAATTATGAATAATAATTCACTTAAATTTAAATTATTATTTTAATATAATAGTAAGGCCACACATGAAAATGTGTTTAGTACATTTTCAAATGAATTAAAAAAAATTTTAGAGCAAGTATTCTTTACAATATTGAAACTACCCATTTTTTTGTAATATCCTTGTTATGGTATGAATTCTGTTCTTATCCTCTCAATGTGATAATGACGTTGATTGCAACAGAATTGCATTATTAACCAAAAGAACAAAGTGTTATTTTGGACAACAAAAACCATTATTTTTTTAGCTTGTTTGCACCATAATTTCTTTATTTTCTTTGTGTTATAAAAAATAATAAAAATTTCTTATAAAGGTCATTTTTAAAAAAAAAATCTCATAAAAACTAAAATTATTTTTAATAAATCTTATAAATTGGCGATGAAAAATGCCAGTTTAAATTTTTATTACAAAGACGAAGGAATTAAGTTAAGAGAAAATTACATTATTTTATATTACGTTTTGACCTCAAACAGAATAGGAGGATTGCATCATTAATACAAAAATTAGCTCCGATGCCAAAAAAAAATTTTGCAATAAAATAATGCTTTGCATGACTCGAAGATTGATTTGAATATATCAATATTATTCAAAACAGATTCGTTGTGTTAATGGTGTTAGTTCAATTATTAGAAACCTTAAATCACTAAAAGTTTGAATCTCAGTTTAATGGAAATTTCTTCATGCAACTGCAGAACAGATGGATGACGTAATCAAAGGAACGAGTTAAAGGCAGAAAAATTATTCATTAACAAAATTTTTCTCCTCGAACTGGACTCGAACCAGTGACCTACCGCTTTCTAGGCGGACGCTCTACCAACTGAGCTCATCCATCTGTTCTGCAGTTGCATGAAGAAATTTCTATTAAGATAAATTAGTAGTGCAATAGGCACATTCTTATTGATTCCGCAACTTTGATGTTGTATTAGTAAAATTCATAATTTGAATCTCAGGTTTAGGTAATCGTACCACCCCACTTGTTTGCTGCCTCTAATTATTAAAATAATAAATTTAGCGAAAACAGTATACACAAATAAACGCTTTTAATCTTAGAGTAATGAGGAGTACACTTTCCTTGATGAAATTATGTTTCCGATATTATAATATATTCTGTAATGGTCACTATTGAGAGTCACTGTAGTATCTTTTTTTATCCATAAAAGGTATAGTGTATAAATCTTTTCTGTAACAAATGCCTTTGTATTTCTTTTGAGTTTCTGAAGATGCTTTAAATTCTTGTTTTTAAAAATTTTTTAAAAACAAAAATTGAATACATAATTGAACCCGGTCGTATTTAGAGGGATTAACCACACATTGTATTCAAATCTAAAAAATATGAAAAATCTTAATGTAATTAAAAAATTATGTAAGAGAAAGAAAACTTTAAATACTTCCTAGCCCTGTCCTGTAAGCCATGCTATGCTTCAAGCATACCTATACAAAAATTTCAATTCGAATTCAAAGATTAAACCAAAATATTCTTACAAATGCTTTCATATACTATGAGTTTCAGAATCAAATTAAAATTGTCTTTTGATTTTTAATTAAAATTTTTAATTTTTAAAAACTTTTTTCCTACTAAAAGGAAAGTTTTTCATAAAGATTTGATTACATACGATGGGGTATACCTTACATGGTAGGATAGGTAGATTAAGTAGTAAGATTTGCCATTAAGAAAAATCTCCATTTGAAATTTCATCAATAAATTATTGGAATATTTTAATTAAGTAAAACGTTAGTGAAAGAGACGTTCAATATCTTATTTAGTATAATCAATATTCATATTACAGATTCAGTTGAACAATTAAATTGAATAAGCATCTTAGTACAAAGAAATTCTTTTCATTATATTCTATTACAATATTCACTCACGTAGCTCGTTGTAATATTTTTACCTAAGAATATATTCAATTTCCTATTTTAACAAGAAAAAAAATTTATTTTAATTAACCCCACCTATATTCTCTTATTAACATTTTCTTTTTTGAAAATAATAATTTAGGTTTTTTTTCTGTATATGTATACCAGTTAATTTAAATACTTTTTCATAATAAAATACTTTACCAATATAAAAAGGAACAATATCCAGTATTCTTAACTATTATATTGACTGGATTTGAAATAACAAAACTTTGTATAACATTTTTCTTAAAATATTTTTGTTAAGACAAAACAAAATATAAACTTTCTTCTAAACAATTTCATCTGATACAAACTGCTATACACTTAACTTACAACACAATATATAAATGACTGCGCACGTTTATATATTAATATCCTTTTATGTCTTAAAAAATCATTTAAGGATAATGTAAATTAATATACAACCTACAGTATATTATATTCATATAAAGCACACACATATACAAAATTTTCCTTCTACATGCATATATATACATACATTATGTATGTATAAGAAATTATTCAACTAAATTCGATATAATAACTTTTTAACTTTCTTCACCACTTTCAATCTATAATAATGGTAAGTGAGTTTGAGTTATATATAAGAAGAAACAGAAAACAAAAGAAAGAACATAAAAAGAAAAATGAAAACAAAATTATTTTTATTGTCTTAACCACTTTTCTTAAATTACCCCATAATAATATGAGCATCACTAACAATCATCAATATTATTATTACCACACCAAAAGACAAAATATCAACTATCATCAATGTTGGTAGTGCCACATCAAATTACATTATATATAGTCATGAAAATCAATTTCTGATTATTTTCAATTACCAAAAGTACTAAAATCTATTTCTTTGTAACTTTTATATAAATTACATAAGTGTGTTTTAATTGTAAACATAACCATGTGGTGTAAGCATATGGATTGACGTTTTTGTATTCAAAACCTCTATGCTTAAAAAGAGATATGGATAATGCAATATTAACCCTTTCGATTATGCGGTTAACTATTTTATAAATTATTTTTATTTTTTCATAATAGAACCTATAAAGCTCGTAGATGAACAGATAGCAATTTTAAAACGAGATTTTGTGAGAACTGCGTAATTTTTACATTCTGGAATAGTTTTTATAGTTTTATATACATAATAATTATGTAGTTTTAATTTGTATATTAAGAGAAAACGATTTTTGGAGGAAATATTGCTTTCTCATTGTTGCCAGAGAATGCTTTGTTTATACTTTTTTGTCTACGAAACCTAAGGTCATTCGACAATTTTTGTTGTTATTTAATATAGTAAGCACGATTCGGTTAACGGTAACACCCTTAATATATGTAAAATTATTAAATAAAATATTTAGTGACATGAATATCGCAATTTCGAATCTGTTCGATAACGTAAATACAATATTCTAAAAAGTTTCAATGTTACAGCAGCATTTAAGTAAAAATAGCAAAGCTTAGAAACAGTTTAAAGTCTAAACTTGTCTTAACAGCCTATTTTTTATAGTCTGTAAACCGGATGCGCTCATAATCACATGATTTAGCTATAAAGGTTATCTTTTTCATGAGAATTTAATTTCATAAAATAGTGTTACCATTTCACTTAAAATTTATTTTCCTTTCATGTTGAGTTATAACATTTTTACTTTTGACCATTGATAAAATAGAGTTTAATATTAAAAGCATTTATGTATGTTTGTATGTTTGTATTGATGTAAGTTTTTATACGATTCATGTTTTGTTAAATTTGTTGGACGTTATTGCGACATGAGATTTTATCTTCGAATATTTTTTTATACATGGCACATATTTTTTTCTCTGTTCGTTTCTATTAAATTTGATGTAGCTCTTATCTTTAGTATGGTATGAGTACATTATAAAAAAAAAAAAGTTGTAGTTATATCTGATATACTTAGGAATAATAGAATTAAAATTCGTAGTTTATTTAAACTTTTTATGTATAGTAAAACTTATAACTTGATATTTTCAATAACTATAGGCTTGGCCAGAGAATATTCAAATTTTTAAATTTTGTTATTTCTAAATAAAATTTAAATAGTATCATTTTAACTGCTCAATTACATTTAAAACAAAAATTTTATACTATTGCAATACTGTCTGACACTTACTACCTACTTTTCTAATTTTTCTTAAATTAAAATAAAATTAACATTCTCTTATGTCACTATTTAAATCACACAACATTTCGAACAAATTCAAAGTTTTAATTAAATAATAAGTATAAAAAATAGATGAACCATATCTTGATCAACTAAAACAAGGCCAGTCTGTTTAAAACTATTATTTAAAATTAATTTCAAAATTTTCATAAAAAATTTTGCAATGCAATTTGTACATTAAATTAAGAATTTCAAAGTTCACTCTGAATAATAAAATATCAGTTAAATTGTAGAAAAATAAAAAAAAAAATATATTTCCACAATTTAAACACACTGTTTTAAACAGCTTTTTAGCTGAAGACGATGTCTTTGTCATGAGTTTATCTCATAAATTCAGTTCTTAACAAAATCTCATACCACTTAAGAAGGTCTTATAAACTAATGAAAAATTATTTTATATATTTTCAATCTACTTAACAGCAAGCAGATATACATATACAAGTTACAAAGAAAAAATGATAAAACGAAAAAATCAACAACAAACCAGGGTAAAGAATGAAAAATGAAAAGGACTTATCAGCTTTTAACACAAACACTCCATTTGAATTTTCTCTCTTTTTATTATTTTTCTCACATCTTTTTTCATAAGTTGATCATTTTTACATTAAATGAACATCAATAACAAACAACAGTGAATTCTGTATATAATAATTCTGTTATGTATAATAATAATTTCTAACGACATTACATTTAATGTTTGTATATGTATGAGTTAGATTAAAAACCAGCAAATATAAAGTAATGTACCCACATATTATATAAATATAGCATATTATATAAGTATGTGTTATATGTGCTTTTTTTATTGTGGTTTATTCAACATTATTAAAAGTGATAAAGAGAAGGAACTGCGTTTATTAAAAATGTAAGAGAAGATGAAGTAAAATTCTCATTTCAAATCTTTTCAATTGTATTCACTTTATCATTTTCAAAATCATTTGAACTGACAGTTCAAAAAATAGCAAAAATCATTAATAGAATTAAGCAATTTTCCATCTCTTAAAGCTTTAAAAACAATTAAAAATATGGTGTCGTATTTTTATCAAAAAATTTATTGATTATTTCAGAACTTAAAAAAGTATCTATAACTAATCAACTCCCTGGTTAAAGCGAAATCAGAATTTAAAAGTTTAAGAGTTAAACAAGGTTAAACTCTTAAACAAGGTGTATTGTTATTAGTTAAACAAGGTGTATTGGTTCAAATCCTAGAATAATTCGAAAATGAATTTCGACAGGCAAATTGTATACTGACGTCGATCTGTATAATAAACAAATATATTGAAAATCCTCAAACCTTTTCCATTGTTCTGTAATTTTAATGGCATTTTATTGAAATTTAATTAAAATTTAATTTAATAATAGTTATCAAAACATATTAGAATTTTAATTCCTTTGCCAAAATTTTAATTTTCAATATTAGGTGCCATAATTTTTGGATCAGATCAAGAGGTGCGAGAAGTAATGAGAGCTGTAAGACGTAATAATGCAACTGGTGCATTTTCATGGATCGGTTCTGATGGTTGGAGTGCCAGAAATCTTGTTTCTGATGGTAATGAACCAGAGGTAAGTTCAAAAAATATACGTATGCGAATATTTTAGATTTTATGGTTTATTTTACTTTATAATACTCAATATAAATAAATATTTTACTTACATTCTTTTCTCGTTTGATCAAATTTTATTAATAAAAAAAACTTTTATCATTAAAGCCTGTTTGAAAAATTTGCGTACAATATTTTCTTTTCCATTATTGAATTATTTTGTTTTTTTCGAAACTTTAACAGCTTGATTAAAAAATCCTTAATTAAAATTATAGTTTTAAAGCTTTATTGATAAAAACATGTAGAAGGAAAAAGTTAATAGGAGATGAAAACATATTTAGAGTTGGATGCAAACAAAAAAAAGAAAACTGTAAACAAGTTTTCAACTTTTTTATAAACTAAAAAAGTTAAAAATATTTTTCTTTTTGTTTTGCAAACAGGTATTAAAAACATTGTAAAAGATGTCCCAGTATAGTTTCGTTAAAAAAGTATTACAAATTTGATACTTTTAATCGATAACATTCTAAAGCAGGACCCTATTGCACCAACTTTTACATTTATTTTTGCTTTTAGATTAAAAAGTTTAAATCTGTTACTATTTAAGCGGTTTATGTGAACAAGCAGTTATTCGCAAAGAATTGAAATTAAAAGAGTTGACAATATTCTACATGGTCATATGGAATTAGATTTTAGAGCAAAAAAATATTGAAAAATATTTTGCCAAAAAAATTCGTTATTAAAATTTTTTGAAATACATTTTTCTTATAATTAATTTAAAGAACTTAGGCTTAGCGTAATTGAAGCAATTCTTATCTACTGTAAGCTAAAACATGGGAAATTTAGTTATTGCACTCGTCAATTTTGTCGTAACTCGATTTAAGAAATTTTGCCTTTGAATTATTAATGTCACGACTGTATTCCTGTGATAACAAGGAAAAATTGCTTAATTACTTAGTATTACCATTAAAATATTCAAATTCTTGATTTTCAAATTTAAAATCCAATAAATTTTAATACTATTATGTTAAAATTGAATAAAACGCACCTCGAAATATTTTTCGAAATTATTTTTCGAAAATCTGATTGTTTTAAAGTGCTTAGCCACGAAAATTTAAAAAAGAGTATTGAAAAATTTTCTTTAAAAAGTCATTCTGAAAAATATTTAAACTTTGCTCGAAATGATTCTAATTCTAGTTTGATTGGCATAGATTTACACTGATTTGTCAAAACTAAAGTAAGAGAACATGAAAATAATTGGAAAATTCTAACATAGTACTCATTTTCGTTGTTTAGAGACCCTGTCTATTACATAATTTTCATCTTATGTATGTTACAATAAAAAATCTATGTGAAGTTTCTATTAGATTAATAATAAAGGTACGTAACAATTTTCTCTTTTAGTAAATCCCCTATTAAAAAAAATTCCATGAAATAAAACTTTTAAAATAAAAACGACAACGTTTTTTTTGCTTTATAATAATTTTCATATGCAGTTACAATACAAAACGGGCTGCAAATGAATTTTTAACTTCGTAAAATAACTTTTGAAAAAATTTCATTTTTGTTTAAACTTTGCATTTCAATGATTTCCCACTATATACGAATTATCGTATAGCAAGAGCTTATTAAAATATTTTTAATAATTACTAAAATTATAATTTTATTAAAGTAAGTGATAAAATATGCATATTAACGTAATATTTTAACATTTGCATAAATTCAAGCTAAAGTATCAGATTTTCCAGAGAATTCATGTTGAATAAAATTTTTAATTATGCAAAATGAACAGGATTCAGGATTTAAAGGTATAGAGACACAATTAGAATAGAGACCTTGATATTTTTCCAATTGGATGGTAAATTTACCGTAAAATCTAGGAGGGTTACTAATATAGCTAGTGATTCAAAATTTCAATATTTCAAACAATGGAATTTTTTACAGTATACTCAAATCATTTTGAGGTTATTTTAACATTTTTCATCACAAAATCCTAATAATTTAATAAAAACTTAAATAATTTAATTAAAACTTAAATAACATATATCCCTTATTAGAAATGGAATGAGTACAGTCAGAAACATGGTTAAAGATTGTTGCCTTATTAATTTCATCGAAAATTCATATTAAAATAATATCATTCTTATTGGGTAAATTATAAGTATTCAACTTAAAAGAAATGATTTTTTTTTTTTAATTTATGTACTCCTACTCAAACAATATAACAACTTGAAACGACTGTGAGAAAGGATCGACACAGAAAAAGCAGAAAAATACAAATTTTTCACTTGTTTTTTCTACTTATTTTGCTTTGCTTTGAAATCAAGAAATTTAAAATTCTTAGCACGTCAAAGTTTTCAATGACACATTTTACCCAAAATTAAAATTATTTTAAATCTTAATAATTAGAAAATTTACAACTATGTACAAACCAGTAATAAAAAGACTTTATCCTTTACAAAGCCAAAAAAAAGAAATAAACAAGATAAATTTTCATGAAATTTCCTTTTTTGTATTTTCTATTTTGACAGGTTGAAGGTACTTTATCCGTACAGCCGCAAGCAAATCCAGTTAAAGGTTTTGAAGCATATTTTCTAAATTTGACAGTTGAAAATAATTTAAGAAATCCGTGGTTTGTTGGTAAGTTACAACTATTTACATTGTACAAATAACAAAGGTATAAGATTGTTAAAAATTAATCCTTGTTAAAAAATTTGTTTTGACTTTTTTAAATTGTTTTTTTTCCGTGTTTTTGGATATTATTAGGTTGTAATAATTTATATTTCAATAATTACTTTGTTAAAAAATTATTAAAATTATGACATTTACTTGGAAATCAAAAATTTTCTTTGAATCTCCTTTGTTAATTTTAAAGTAATTATTTACGTTTTACACTAAAATAGGTAAAATTTACCTTAAATGATAAGAAAAATTAATGACACATTCTATACGCATTTGAAGTTTTCATATTTGAGAGAATAACCCCTTGAGCAAACATGTAGCATAAGCAAAGGCGTCAAAACCAATTTAATATATTAACTGATGTTGAATATATTTCCGTTCAAGGATATGATAAAAATAAAATTTTTTCTTAATATATATTTCAGAATTTTGGGAAGATCATTTTCTATGTCGATATCCGAATAGTTTACCAACACCATATAATATAAATTATAATAGGACATGTACAACTAAAGAAGTATTAAATAAAAATAATACAGATTTTGAAGATCAATTACAATTTGTTAGTGATGCTGTTATGGCTTTTGCATATGCCCTAAGGTAATAAGATTTTAAAGAAATTTGAAAAAATCACAATTTTTTAATTAAAACCATTTTATATTATATACAGAGATATGCACAGAGATTTATGTGGTGGTAAACCGACATTATGCGATTCAATGAAACCAACAAAAGGTGCTGATTTACTCAAATATTTACGTAAAGTGGAATTTGAAGGTAACTTTTTAATTTCAATAGAACAAAATCGCCTTTGTACATAAATAACAAAAAAATTGCATGATTTTCGACACTATAGGAATATTCGAACGCGATTAACTTGTTCGCAAACCAAATATGTCACTTAAAGCTCCTTAGTTTTGAAAAAACGCTATTCTTCACCATCCCAGAAGATTATACCGGAGAAAATAGATTATATTGCAGAAGATTATTGCGGAAAGTATTTCCTATCAATTAGGAAACTGGTAAATTGTATATGTGAAAGTATGATAATATCATGCCTTCTGAAAGACAGTCAATACTTTGATTCTTGAAACATTATGATAAGTATTATAGTAGGCCCGCAATGGTTAATTGTGCGGGTCAAATCTAAATTCTAATTCTTAAACTTTTTCGTCTCGTCTTACTTCTAAGTAGAAATTTGTTACGTCAATGAATTTGCGCTTTCAATTTAAAACTAACAACAACTTATAAAAAACAATCAAAAATACTTGCAATTTAATTTTTTAACATTTTTTTTTTTTCTTATTACATTGAAAAATAAATTAACAAATTTTGAGTATAAAAAACAATCGAAAAGAAAATTTAGTTTCTGTGTGCTCTTTATTTTTCAAATACCGACGAAATAATTAACAAAAATACGTACATATGTATATAAAGAACAAAGAACTACTCAGGAAATCAAAAAAAAAGAAAGATACGTATCAAGTTAAGAACAAGAAAAATTCTCTACACATAAAAATACTTACATATAGATTCTTCTTTTTAATCTGAAATATAAAGTAAAGGAAAGGCGATCATTAAAAATGAAAAGGATTTAATTATCTAATAAGAAACATTCTTCTAGATTTTCTCTTTCAAAATAAACAGATTTATTGTTTTACTAATACCACTTTATATTATATTATGTGGTTCAAGTTCTTTAAATTGTTGAAACTTAAATTATAGTACAAATTTCAGATGATTTCTTAAAATACTTTGCAATTCTAAGTTAATTCCAAGTATATTAAGTCACTAGATCATGGTAAAATGAATGAATAAAAATTCCGTTTGTTGATGAAGAAAATTCTAATCTCATCAAGAAAAATGGAAAATTTTGGAAAACTTAATAAGTAATTTATTGAATTTTGTAAGAATTTATACTTCTATTCAAATATACAACGAGACTCTTCAGAAATTTGCTACTTTTTATAAATACTTAAATAATTTTTATTAAACCTTAGTGTAAATCTGACATCCGGTCATGTAGTCTTTGATCTGGGCATCAGACTGTTGTTTAATTTTTCCTAATTTTTAAATTGTTTTGAAACAAGCAATTAACATTAAACGTCAGTTTAGAAATTGCACACATCATGCACATTCAGCAAAATATATCTATAATGCATAATTTATCTATAGTTGGATACTGCAAAAAGTAACAACCGTATCTGACACCCATTTATTATACTTCTTTATTTTTCGAATTTAAATTCGGCTTTGTCGAATTAGCTCCAAAGCTTTGGTTTTATTACAAAATTATAATATGTTACAATTTTGTATTGTTTATACCCGTACGAACGTATGTTCGAAGGGTATACTAAATTTGCCTTACCGTTTGTAACGCTAAGAAATAACGATGTTAGATATAGACTCAAGTGTATGTTTTTGATCAGCGTCAAATTCTGAGTTGATTTAGCTTTGTCTGTCCGTCCGTCCGTCCGTCCGTCCGTCCGAACGATAACTCAAAAACTAATTGAGCTAAGTTCACCAAATTTTCACAAATGATTTATTGTAGTAAGTGCCAGAACCCTATTTAAATTGGACATGATCGGGGTACCGGTTCGGGTAGCTGCCATACAACTTCAAAATTTATTTGGCTATATCTCAGAAACTATAAAAGTTATGGTATTGAAATTTCACACAAACGAATATATTAGTAGGGCCAATATGCCACATAAAAGTCGTTGAAATTACTTGGCTCCTTCTGGTACCTGCCATACAACTTCAAAAGTTATTTGGCTATATCTCAGAAACTATAAAAGCTGTGATATTGAGATTTCACACAAGTGAATATATTAGTAGGGCCGATGTGTCTGGTAAAAGTCGTTGAAATTACTTGGCTCCTTCTGGTACCTGCCATACAACTTCAAAAGTTATTTGGCTATATCTCAGAAACTATAAAAGCTGTGATATTGAAATTTCACACAAGTAAGTATATTATTAGGGCCGACGTGCTTGATAAAATTCGCTAAAATTTCTTGGCCCTTTCTGGTAGCTGCCATACAACATCAATAGTAGTTTGGCACAACCAGTATTTTGAATAACACATAGTACTGAAATTTTGCATAAACTAATATGATAATACGGCAACTTAAAGTCATAGTCTGCCCCATAGTTAGTTATGGCAAATTAGTTATTCGCACAAAGGATAACAAATTCGTACGGGTATCACAGAGTTGACAAGGTCAACTCTATTTTTTTCTCGTTTTTAAATTAAGTTTCGCGATTAAATTATTCGAAATAAGTTTTTTTTTTCGATTTTTCAACAGTTTTCCCTTAAAACTACAATTAATGTATTCGAAAACAGATAAATTTTAGTTTGAAGTTTCAATTGTACCTTCGCATTCAAAAACCAAAAAACATCTCTGGGATACAGTTTTATCTATTATTTTAGCTTTTATAATATGTATATAAGAAATTTATATAGATAACTACAACACTTGATACACTCATACATGCAGATACTCATATAATATTTATGATTTTTCACTTGGATAGATATGATAAATGGATATTACACTTTTTTTAAAGATTATAATAATTTACTGCTATATACCAATAGAGTATAACAGATGTCCTTATAATAATAAAGTAAACCTACGTACTTTATGCTATACATAAGTTAAAAAGAAATTTTACCTGGGTGTTGTTCAGTATACTTAATTTTGAGATAAGAATAGAAAAAACAAAAATAAAAATGGAAGACAATATAGAGAATTTTCTTTTCGCAAAAGGATAAAAGACACAATTTTCTTTTTAGTTTTTTTTTTCATTTTTATACAATTAATTTATCCAAGTTTAAATAAGTAAAATCTTAAATATTGAAGGGAATGTTATTAATCTTAAAGTATATACGTATAAACATTTACTTTCTTCTTTGTTGTTCTCTATGAGCGAAATAAGGGAAAACAGTTCAACTGACTTTTAATAGAATATATTAAAAAGTGAAAGGTTACATATATTCGACCATTATTCCATATACCTACATTATCTTACCAAATACAAATAATATATTCGATTACACTGTACAGCTTGTATAAAGATTTAAATTTGGTTGCCTTCACATCACTCCTACACTTACACTTTATTTCTTCTCTCCACTTTGTTTTTATTAGAAATATGGTGTGGAATATGTGAAACTTTCAATTTACTGACTAATGTGAATCAGTGGATAATACTTTAAAAATTTTCAAAATTGAAGAAAAGAAAATCTTCTTTGTTGTTATACAGCATTCAGCATATTCGGCTGAATAATTATTGCAAATGAAATTAAAATCAGAATTGTTACATTGAATTTGTAACGGATGAATTAATCACCATATTATATAAATCTCGCCAAATATCTTCCAATTTTTATTTTATTCCCATATTAATTATATTAATATTAATCCACGAAAATAATTCATAAGTATTTTATTGTACTATTAAAAAACAAATTAGCTTATATAAAGATATGAAATTTCATTCTCTTGTTTTTTAAAGCCCAAAAATATGCAACTGTTATATTGTTACCAAAAGTAATATCTCTAATAAAATTTATTATTCTTTATAATTAACAGGATTAAGCGGTGATCATTTTCGATTTGATATTAATGGTGATGGACCAGCTCGATACAATATAATACATTTTAAACAAGTTGAATCTGGTAAATATCGTTGGGTGAAAGTTGGTGAATATTATGAAGGTGAATTGCGGTTAAATATGTCGGGTAAGATTTTAATTTATTTATATTTATCTTAAGCCCTATCGAAATTTATAGCAATATTTTTTTTTGAGTTATTTAAAGTATTTTTTTCAAAAGAATTTCCTTTTTACAAAAAATTTTTATGTAACATTATTCTTAAAAAATTAAAAGCGCCTGGAACTTAATGCAAAAAAAAACTAGAAATTAAAAAAAAAAGTGTTTTTTTTTGTATCGAAATTTCAAATAGAAAAAGAGTTATACGCACATTATAATATTGTTGTGTCATTGATAGATGATAATCGATAAATTGAAATTGATATTTTGCTAACGATAAAAGCTGTTAGATATTTTATTTTCCTTTTAGTGTCCTTTTTTTGTTCTTAGTAAAAAACAACATTGAGTGATTTGCTAAAATAAACAAAAACAACAACTATTTTTGATGTAGATTAAAATTCTTTGTTATCTTATTTTGTATTTGTTGGATGAGGAGGAGGGACGCGGGGTTCTCCCCGATTATTTTAAATCGAAAAGGTTTTAAATTAAACATTAATTCGAATTAAGTATAAATAAAATTACTTACGGATTTAGAATGATGTTGTTTTACACCTATAATTCATCTATTATTATTGATGGTTTACTCATTTACAATTTATTTCTACAATTATATTTAATAGAAACATTCATTACATAATTGACAACAATTCGTAAAAGGTTACCATTTAATTTTTTAAATAAAAATATTCAAAAATATTCAATTCATTCTGTTTAATTCTTTCATCCAAAAGCATATTATGCAATTTCAATAAATCGACAGAGCGTTAAACAGAAATGTAACTTACTTTAAATAACTACCAAAACTCAAATTTCAGTTCAATATGGTGTATTAAAAAAATTATCAAAAAATACAATTTTAATTGATGAGTTAATAAAATTGCTATACAAGAACCGCAATTAGACAGTTTTATCCACGAACGATTTGCTTAAATTACGAAGAGAATAGTAACACGTTAAGTATTTTTTTTTTCACCTTGTTCTACTCCGTTTGGGAGCATAGGGCATCCACAAAGCTTCTCCGTCTGACCGTGTTGTGCGCAAGTAACTTTATTCGCCACGTTTTTTTTTTTGGTTTGCACACCTATCGCTTGCCCCGAGGGTACCACTCTAAGGACCTCCGCTGAATATTATTTTCTGGAATTGTCAGTGTGTGACCAACTAATCTCCATTTTCTCATGAAACTCGACCTTAATTTTATATAGCATTGCAATACCATAGTCATTGCGTAAAAAGAAAATCGTTTTAGCTTTAAAAAGCTAAATGAAAAGCTTTAAATAGCTAAGATTCATTAACGTAACCTTAGTTAACTGTAATCATATTGAACCTCATTCTGATGATTCTAACAATAACACAATAATGAACTAAATCACACTTAATTTAAATAAATTAAAAAACTACTTTAAACATTAATTCTCTTCTCTTTTTCTTGTTTAATTTACTTTTAATTTACTAGCATTTCCTTCATTTTATATCATTAAAGATTTTAAGAACCACTCCTTTTGCTAGGATAATTAAATAGTTTTCTTGTCTTTTATTTTACTTTGAATTTAAAAATTTATAATCCAATTTAATCGTTTCTTCTTTTATACATATTTATATTTTTCTGTAATTTTTCTTATATTTCTTTTATGTTCTGCAATTTTTCTTTATACGGTAAAAATAATAATAATAGAAGTGCAATTTAAATTATTGGATCCAAAACCACCTGAATCAGTATGCAGTCTTCCATGTGAAAGAGGACAAGCCAAAAAATATGTTGAAGGTGAAAGTTGCTGTTGGCATTGTTTTAATTGCTCAATGTACCAAGTAAGTATTAAAAATTTTAAAATAATTTTACTTAATATCTTTGTCTAACTGCCAATAATATTATTGCATTTATGAGCATTTCCACTACATTGCAAGCAGTTACGGAACCAATTCTATTCTCTATATTCACTCGTATTAAGATCTCACATAAATTTTTATATAGTAGAAAAGGACGACTTTTGTCCGACATTACTACATTTACCAACTTTTTTCAATGATCTGATTTGGCAAACTTCAATTTTTGTCAATGATTAAGTATCTTGCGACTATCGGCATCAAGTCAAGTTCTCTTCTCATTAAAAAGTAACTGTAGTTTTTGATACGTGTGTGGTATGACTGTTTTATTAACTTGAGCATAACTTATTTTTCATGACTTTTGCATGAACATTGAGGCAGCTGAAATTCCTGGGTTGTCTCTAGTCTATCTTTATATAAAAACTGAAGCAAGACATTTATGATTTTTAAATCAACAATCAAGGATTTTCATTCAGGAATTTGAATAATTTTTAACAAAATTGTTCAATATTGAATACCTTAATACTATTATAACTTTTAACACAATAAACAACAAATTATCACCTTTACAAATAATATTAAAAAAATTTTACTTTAAAACACAATAATTTAAGAAAATAGAAAAGAAACAGCAAATTACTTAAAGAAAACCCTGAAAACACCCAAAAGAACGCAAAAATAAAATATCTTACAAAAACCCATAATATCTCTAAATTTTCTTAAAATTATTTCGATTTTATTATTTTAAAGACCCACCTTATACCATATAACCACTGCTCTGTCATCATGGGAACAAATAAAAGACAAATTTCAGTAAATACGATTTAAAGTTGAATCTTTTTTACTTCAAAACAAATACTTATACAAACATTTATACAAAATCTTACTCCTCTCCTTTCGTTTTCTTTCTCTTTTCCACGATTTGTGTATTCAAATGTTATATGGATATTTTAAAGTAAATAATGTTTATTCATTTCATTCACTTACCATTATTTATTAAATTTTTTCTTATTCTTCCTTTTCTCTATACTTGCCAGATTCGACATCCACTTGATGAAACACAATGCGTCACATGTGATAAAGGTACATTACCAGATCGTATGAAAGAACGCTGTCAAGAAATTCCAGAAGTTTATTTACGTCCAGAATCAGCCTGGGCAATTGGTGCAATGGCATTCAGTTCAACTGGTATTTTGATCACATTATTTGTGGTCGGAGTGTTTGTTAAGTAAGTTTTTTTCCCTTAGTTTTTTTTTTATTTTTATTTAAAAAAGGAAAGCACAAGTGAAAATATGTAAAACGGCAAAAAATCATTACAAACTGTACAAGAGTGTAGACTGAGTGTTCGGTAATAAATAAATAGAAATCATATCAAATACAATTAAATACCTAGTTTGAATTGTAAAAGAAGGACTTCATTTTCAAAATAAATTACTAAAATAATTGGAATTAAAGAAAGAATATATAAAAATTTCTGTTGTCACTTTAAGTGTATACTTGATTTGGTTTTAGTCCACTTATCTCTCTAATGTTAACAAATTGTAAAATCAGCATTTGTTTTTTAAATCTCAGTCAATACAGTACACAGTCTGCTAACGACACTTAAATTTTCCTAATATGATTCACTTTAAACTTAAAATTTTCTAGTACAAGTGATGTTGACCATCACGGATAATAATTTTTAAAAACGGATAAATAATTTACCTTTGAATACTTTAATGGGACATTCATTTATTCCTTGTTGGGATACCCTTTATAAAAACATAATATACAAGTATTATGTTGTTTTACTTGTTTTTTACATTTTTAATGGTATTGTTTTTAAAAGACATCTAGGTATGCCAATTTGATGGATGAGATTTTAAATTTTAACAATCTTTTATATCAACTTTTATACACGTATATGTAGTTCTTTATTTTTAAGAAAATAGATTGCGAATGAATAAAGCGTATTATTTTTTGAAAATTCCAAAGTCTTTTTATGGGGTAAATAATGAATAAAAAAAACCAAAAATGATTTTTAAATATAAAGCGTAGTGAAGCTTAGAAAAATTAAAATTAAGTTGTTTTTTGACCTTTTCGGTCTTGAAATGCTCAGCTTTCAAAACTGAGGAAATTTCAATATCAACCGCATAAAGACTATACGACTTATTTCTCACAATTCTATATTACCCAATATGAAATTTAAATGGCACTATTTTAGCTCTTGCTCAAACCAGGGGCTTTAATATGTAATTTGATTTTCGTTTTTGCAGAAATGGGAAAGTAGTGCCATGCATATTGAATGTTACTACCTTATCCTTTTTACGAATACGAAAATCGTTTCAAGAAAATCTAATTAAATAGTAAGATCCCTGGTTTTCTTTAATTTTAAAAGTTATTGCCTTCTACATGGCAATTCTGATAGGTTTGATGTTTCATATTTAAACACTTTCCTTTTAGCTTCTATTTTCCAATATTTTTAAATCAAAGTAAGAGTTTCTATTTTATTGTAATATTACTTACTCAACCATTTTTTTAATAAAGGGATTTTCTTTTCTTCTATAACACAGTTTCTTTTCAGTTTAAATATCTTAAATTTTTAAATTGGCTTTTATGATAAAACATCATTTATCTTCATTTCACTTAATTTTTTATTTTATTTACTTTATCAAAAGGCACAATGACACACCTGTAGTACGAGCATCTGGAAGAGAATTAAGTTATATACTATTAGCTGGCATCCTTATGTGTTATATGGTAACATTTGCTTTGGTATTACGACCCACTAATATTGTTTGTGGCTTACAAAGGTGAATATATATATATATTTATTAAAACGTATTTTTTACGTCAATAACCTTGGAAAATATTAAAAACAAATGTAAAATTTTATTTTCGAATGTGAATATAAAAATTTTTTTTTATTAAATTATTAGGAAACGGAGCCTAATTTTTTTCTTGTTTCTTTTTGTCCTTTTTATCGAATTTTATTTACTCACATGACAATATTATTAATATTGTTTCCAAAACAAAAATTTTCCTTTTATAACATGTTTTATGAAGTTAATTTTAAATTTACTTACAACTTTGATTAAATCGCAATATGCAGATATTTTCTGTGAAAAAAAATCATACTATTAATAATTTCAATATCTTAATAATTTCAAGTTAAAAAGTTTAACATGATTTTTTGATAAAAATTGATGAGTTTTGAAAATTCTAATAAATGTGTTCTTATTAATTTAGTGAAAAGGTTGCTAAAGGAATGAAAATACCATTTTTGTTATTTAAAGCAATTTCAAGAAAAACAGACTCAACCCAGCCGAAAATTAAATACAAGGGTTCATAAACAGAAAGATTGACAAACCTCTTTCTTCTCATTATACAATGATAAGAAAAAGACTCGCTACAAATAATTTATTTACCTATAATAACTTCATAACTCGAAATTTGAAATTTGTTATCACAATACTTCCTTTACTGTTTACAATGCGTCAACAAAAAATATACCGTACATGAAAAGAACTTATAATTCACGCAAAATATTTTAGAAGAAAAAATGCTAAGAGTCTCAAAATATCAGGAATTGAAACGAATTTATCAAAATTTATAGAATCCGTCTGTTAACAAGATAAATATCCTTGCATTCTCTTTCGAGAATATTTTAGTCTTAATTTTTAAAAAGTTACAATATAGAAGATCTACTTTTTTTATGAAATTTATTTCAAAGAATGCATGTACTAACAAAAGTTTTGTATTTACAGATTTGGAGCTGGATTTTGTTTTACTGTCGTTTATGCAGCTCTATTAACTAAAACTAATAGAATAGCCAGAATTTTCAAAGCTGGTAAACAATCAGCTAAAAGACCATCATTTATTAGCCCAAAATCCCAATTGGTTATATGTGCGTGCTTAACATTTGTACAGGTACGTTATTATATAAATAAAAATTACATATATATATATATATATATATATTCTCCTATTAATAGCATTTCTCATTAGGAAAATTCTATATCGAATTATTTAAAAAACACGTTTATGCATTAACACAAATTCTACCATATTTAGGAAAATGTTTTTTTTTATATTGTCTACGTGATATTGTAATGGAAAATTTTATTTAATGAAATTTGATTTTATAATACACTAGAGAGGAAGCAAAAAACAACTTTAATTTTTTATTGATCTTATTTCAAATTTTCTATTAATTTTGTAATTTGGTCATAGTTGGTAAATTTTTTGCTTTTTAATATAGAAAAATGAAAAATTAATAATATCATAGATCTACTATGATCTTTTAGACATAAAATTTATTGTTTGTAATTAAAGAACATTATCAAAGCATAATTAAAATTCCTGACAAAACAAAAATTTTCAAAGCTACTCACATTTTTGATACACAATTCAATTATTTAATCAGGATATTTAATAAATATACACAAAAACTCAGTAGACCATCTGTAATACTTGCCACAGATTAAATTAAAATTGTGAAGAAACAAATCTATAATTCAAAATCATAACGAAAAAATTTTTCATATATTTTGCAGATTTTAATCAACGGGGTTTGGATGATTATATCACCTTCTCATGCCATCCATCATTATCCAACTAGAGAAGATAATTTACTTGTATGTGACTCTTATATTGATGCATCATATATGATTGCATTTTCATATCCGATTATATTAATTGTTATATGTACCGTATATGCTGTATTAACAAGAAAAATTCCAGAAGCATTTAATGAATCCAAGCATATTGGTAAGTTTTTTTAACAATATAGATTTTAACCCTTTAGTATTATTAATAATTTAATTGAGAAGAAAAAGTGTGTTTATATAGGAATCGCAAAATCATTTTATTTTGCCTGGTTTTTTCTTACAAATCGAAACCAAAGTAAAAGTTTTAATATGCTCTTCATTCCTCACTAAAAATTATTTTAACCACAACAGTATATAAAATTTAAAATATTTCCAAAATATTAAAACAAAAGCCTTTCATACAGTTGAGGGGTAAGACCAAACAATACACTAATATTGAAGAATGAACACACACCTTTGTGTTGAAAAAAAACTTATAAACGCGAGTTAAAATTTTACAAAATATTTGTTCTCTTACAAATACATTTTACAATCACATTGTTATGTTTTATTTTACAGGATTTACAATGTACACCACATGTGTTATATGGTTGGCATTTGTTCCACTTTATTTTGGAACAGGGAATCATGTTCCATTGAGAATAACATCGATGTCAGTGACTATTAGTTTATCAGCAAGTGTCACGGTGGCTTGTTTATTTTCACCTAAGGTGAGTAAATAGATTTTCATTTTATAAATATATTATGTATGTAGCTTTCTTATTTTAGTTTAATAAAATTATGTGTGTGATAATAAAATTGGAAAAACCAAAAAAAAAGAAAACTTTAAATTCTATAACTAAGACCATAAATATTTTTATTTGTAACTTTTTTATTTTACGATTCTTTTCTACTCTTTATAGTTTATTTATACTATATTTTTTATTTTAACTTAGATTTCGTTTCTTTAACTTATTTTATTTGTACTGCTACATATTACACATGCACAATATTCAAAAGAAATAGTAAACATTAAGTATAGAAAGTATAGAAAATTTAGAAAATATTGAAAGTGAAAAAGCAAATTGAAAAAGTTTCAAGTAAATGTAAAAGAAAAACTTTTTTCGTATTTCTTAAAATTTTTATTTTTGGACTTTTCCAAAAAAAAAAGGTTTGAAAAAAAATGCTTATTACTTTCATTCTATTTGTTCGTCCGTCCGTCTGTTCGTCTGTTCGTGCGTGTGTTTTTAAAACTTCTTCACCCCTTAAGATAGAAAGTTTAAATTTAATATATAAATAGAGATTTAGTAGAAACATATTTTTGTAAAATTTTTACTTCTATCCGCTCTCTCTAATAGCCAGTCAAACTCAAAAAAAGGCATTTTTGATTGAGTGGAATTTTGATTGACAATTTTTGAGGGGAAAAGTTTTACTTTATACCAACCATTGGTTTGATCCAATTTTATTATAAATATATGATCGATTTTGGCGGATAGGTTTATTTTTATTATGTATAAGTATATATACATATTTAATGTTCTTTATAACATAATATTTATACACAAAACCTGAAAGAAATTCTGTGAAATCCTATTACAACTTACTAATTTTTAATATTCTTAATAAATTTCTAATAATTTTAATATTGAAATCATAATATTTAGTAAAATTATTCTAATACTTGCAATGAATTTCTTTTTTAACAGCTGTATATAATACTTGTGCATCCAGAACGTAATGTACGTCAAAGTATGATGCCAGCCAGGTATAGTAATATTAATCGTGGAACTGGTACAGGTCCATCATCAGTAATGGCTGCTGCAATGGTAACAGCAGCTACTTGTAATCAAGAGGAAAAAATTCACAAACACATATCACCTTCTAATACAGGTAAGAGGGTTAAAATTATTTATAAATAAATACATGAAATTTAAAATGATAAAATTATTTATAAATACATGAATTTAAAATACATGAAATTATTGAAATATGTGTGAAAGGGTATACTGATAATTGGAATTACAAGAAACCTCAAAAATATGATTTAACGTTACAAAATATGTTAAAATATAATATAAAACTTTATCTTTACTCATTTATAATTAATTATGAAATATAAAAGTAAAATAATTTCTTTTTCATTATGGTATTTTAATTACAACAGAAACAAATGGTAAAATGAAAGTTTGTGAAATTGCTACACAAACAGTTGCCATTTCCAGTATATTCACAAATATAGACAGCACAGCATTAACACATTACAGTGTCAATTTACCATATGCTGATCAAAATGTGCCAAATAATTTAGATAACAATTGTCAAAATCTATCAAATAATAATAAAATAAATAATACAACAAAAATATCATCACCGCCACCGTTACAATCAAAAGTTGATGATATATATCAGCAACAGCAACAGCAATCACAACAAAAATCACTCCAACAACATCGAAAATCAAGTGGTAATGTAACAAATTTAACTGGTACTGAGTTGAAGAATAATATTATTGATACCAGTTTATAGCAAGTGAATAAATCCTTATTACAAGAAAACCATCCATTATCATCTCTTTTGTTATCAACATCTACAATAAATACATCTTCTACATCATCATCTACATCATCATCATCTTCATCAACATCGCCAACACTACCACCTACTCCAACATCACAACAATTTAGATCATTAGAATTACAATTAGAAACAAATGTTAAAATATCACCTAAATTACAACAATTTAAAAAACAACAATCACAAATAAATATAGTACCATCTATCGATAAAAATGAAAATGAAAAGTGTGAGCAGGATAAAAATTTTCAAAAAATTTGTAATACAAAAAGTAATAATAGCTGTAATAATCAACGAAATGCTATAACTGTATAATTATTTAAAAGAAACAAACAAACTGTTTATAACAACAATTCAAATATTCACAGAAAAAATAATATTTTGTTATATGAGGGCGTCATAAACTTATTTAAAATTTTAATGCGGTTCAAAACAGAAATTAAAAATAAAAATTAATTTTAATTAACATTAAAGGCTTACCAAACATAAGATATCCTTTTTTAATCTCTTAACAGAAGTAGGTAAAAATTTAAAAAGAAATTCTTGAAATTACATGCAATCAACAAAGTTATTCTTAAAATATATTTTACAATATCTTTTTAACCCTTTACCTGCGAACTTTAGGTATAAGTAGCATTCCTCAAAGCATTTATTTTTTTTTTCTTTTACTAACACTAAAAGCAAATTGCTTTAAAAAGTCTGCTATGAACAATTTTTTTTTTCATTTGGAACTTTTCAATTTAAACTTGATCTAACTCCCATATTAAGTAAGATATGGCAGTTACTTAATTTTATTTTACATAATGCTTTTAATCGTTGTAAATTTTTGCTGATTTATAATTTGTTGCTTTAAAGCATCACAAAAATTCTTAAATAAAATTGAAAGCAATTGATTTCTAAATTGAAATAGAAGTTTAATAAAGGGTTAAATCGAATATTAATTTCATCCTAAGAAAATTTGGTTTTAAAATTTTTCGTTTCAAAAGATTTGTTTGGCTGAGACTTTGTTGACTTGCGATTATATGAAAAGCTTTTCGTTTGTTAAAAAAACATTTAACAAACAAATAAATTTTTATGCAGTATGTGGGAGTTATCAGCTTTAATATCTAAAATACAAAAAACTATAATCAGATTTAAGAAAACGCTTTTCATTTGACTTGAGCTTCATAATACTCGTAATTTTACAATGGTACCCATTTTAATGTCTACAAAAAATTGTTACAAATATTTGTTTCATGTGATTTTTCCCGAACGAAAAATGTAAATTTTTTATTATTAGAAGCAAGTATAGTGAAATAAGACCGAAATTAATCTCTTTGGGCTTAGTTCATCCCCTGCGAGAATAAAAAACAATTGTAATACAAATCGTTCATTTTAAAATTGATATGAAACTAGGTATAATGGAATTCTATCCGGACTACTATTGAAATAATTATTAAAATGAGCTGTTACAGAAGTCTTGTTTTTTAGAGAACGAATATTTTTCAAAATAATAACTTGTATTTTATGTAAAATTTTCTAATAAAGATTATGAAATTTTATCCCTGATTATTTTTAATAAATTATTCTTTTGATCATCATTTCAAATCCATTTTCTTACGAAATTTGGTAAGAAAAAATTTTTGGTTGTTTGTGTTTTTGCGTTTTTATTTAAAATAAAATCGTTTGATCTTAATTTCAAAATATTTTTTTGATAAATTTATTTTCAATTTTTTATATTTAAACTAATAGAAACAAAAAACAATTTTCTTTTTTTGTATTTTAATAAAAATCTCTAGTTGGTTTCAATTAAGGCTGTGAAAATTTTTTTAATTATAAAAAACGACGGCAGAGAATTGAAATAAATTGTTTTTATATTTCTTTTTTGGTCTATTTTTAACCGCTTCCAAATTTTTAAAATAAAAATTTATAATTTTTTCTTATAAATCCTTAGTTCTCGGAAAAAAGGCAAAAAATATTATTTAATAATTAATTTTGTGTTTTTTAATTTATTTTAAGAAAAATTGTAATTTATAAAACTTCAATATTTTAGTTATGCGATTACATTAATATAAAATTACTTTAATTAAAATTTTTATAAAATCTTAAAATTAATAGAAACGCTAAATAAAATAAAACAGGTAAAAAAAAACGGGGCGCATAGACACAAGATATTACTTTCAAATTCAAAACCAGAAACATTCAACGTTTTATCAAATATCAATTATAAATTTCAATACCATTATTTTTACAAAATTCTAACATAATTAAAGTTTTTAACAAACTAACAGAATTTTAGGCTATCATATGTAAAGTATACTTTTCTAAATAGTCAAAAATTTCACATTGATTGAGATTATCCTGCCTCAAATTGTTAAATTTAACTCCTTTAATTAGGAACATGTTCCGAAAATCCACCTAAATTTTTATTGATTTTGTTTTTGTAGAGTAGTTTGTTCTTTATGCAATAAGCTTTTACTTAATTTGCATGGTGAGGTGTTACGGCTTTTAAGAAACAAGAAAAATCATCAATTTATAAAATTAATCGGAAAATGCACAACTCACTAATTCAAAATATCGACATGCATACAGCTACAAATGCAAATATTTTGTAAAATGTACGATTCTAAAACTAAATACGGTATACAATATTTGAAAATTAAAAATATTTCTGTAACATTTTTAAATCAGAACGAAAATATTGAATCAAAAGTATGGGAAAAATGAAAAAAAAAATATCGAAAAAAAAATCTACCCACAATATCCAGAAATTAAATTATTGATAGATGCAGAGTGTGTAAAATGATGTCTAATCAAAATATTGTAATATTATTGTATTATAATTATTATATTTTGTTATCTAAGAATAAAAATATTTTTAAATTGCATTTGGAAAAATTTAGGTGAAAAACAAAAGAAAATTTAAAAAAAAAATTTGCAGAAAAAAAAACAAAACCTTTTTTTACCATAAAAAAAATTTATGTAAATTAATTTTATACTTTAATAAATTGGTTAATAATAAAAAAATAAAATTAAATAAAAAAAAATCAAAATTAAAATTTTAGTTTCTTTGACTTCCGAATCGTAATAATAACAGTATTACTACACAATTCAGCAATTCACATTTGTAAGCTGAATTTTGTATTAATACCGTATCACCGCATTTCGGATATCAAGTTTTGTTATATAAATTATAATATGTTTTAACTATATTTATGTAAATTATTATAAAAATCAAAAAACTAACAAAAAAAAAAATCAAAATAATTATGTATAGAAGTTATAATTTACTTAATATAATATTACATAAAAAAAAATAAGAAAATATGTAATTAAGTCAAATAGAAATGAAAAATACATTGTGATATAATTTTAAAATGGTTCTGAATAAAAAAAAAGAAACAATATAAATTAAATAAAATAATTAAGTATTATTAATTGAAACATTTTGTATATAAATACCTATGTATTATTAATATAAAAATGGCAAGGATTAAAAAAAAATTAAAATTATTTATGAATAATTAAAAAAAAAATTAGCTATCCTATTCAGAAAGTAAATAATATTATGACAAAAATTGTGAATATTACATTTATAAATTAAAGAAAACATTATAACATAGAAAAAATAAAAAATTAAAAATAATATTATAAAATAAAAAAATTAAAGTTGATAAAGTAATTTCTATCACACTAAACAAAATAATGTATTCATAAATTTAAGAGAACAGAATAACAATATTCCATATAAATGAGATATTAATATTGTGAATGACAAAATTGAAACTAGAATTAACTCAAACTTTTATTTACTTTCGATTTTCATAATATATCTAGGTAAAAATTTATTTATATATTAATTTGCCTTTTTGAGTATAGAAAATGAGTTTATAATTTTTTTTTTCTTTGTATTTAGAACAGCAAATTATAATTAGTAAATGGCACTCAAAATTTATTTTATATTTAAAATAAACACTAATCTCATAATTTATCATGCTCTGAACGTACACATTCAAATAATAATTGTATCAAACTTTCAAGATAATAGGTAAACACGATTAAATATAGTCTACCTTTTGCTTACAAACATAACAGAATGTAGTGGTAGTAACCCTAAAATTGAGTATCAACAATTTTAGTTTAATGTATATTTTAAAGAAAGTTTACAACTCCAATTTTTAGGTTAAAGACCTAAAAAAAATCAGAAAATATATTTAGAAAATTGGAGATAAGTGAATGTCATCTCAGGAAACAGGTTTTTTTAAGAAAATTTGATATATTCAATTTTCTTCATTTCTTCATTAAAAAAATATATAAATCAAATTATGTACAAAAAAACCATAACCTTTAAATATATAATACAGTAACTATATTTAATAAAAAAATGGTTTCTTAATATTCAAGGAGAGTTCTTAGAAAACAGTAAGTGAAGTCTCCCAATTTTCCTTTTTCTAAAACCAAAATCATAGGACAATAGTCAGATTATACAAAACAAAAGTAATGCAGCTTATATTATATCGTTAATTAGTTTATATAATGTTTTATATTATTTTGAATCACATAAGTTTTATTACTATTAAATTTAGTTATTTTATAATTAAATTTCTTTAATAATGCAATGATTTCTAGACATTTAATAAAAAAAATTTTAAATTCAATGTTATTATTTATTTTTCAATTTTAGATGAATTTTCAATACTTAAAACTCATATTCTGCAATAATTTACACCAAATATAGTATTTGTATGAAGTATAGATCATTTTATTTGAAAAATTATTTTAACATATTTATTTACCAATTTTTGTTAATATGAAACAAAAATGTATTAAAAAAAAATTATATAAACTGTTGCGAAACAAATAATTATGATGTTTAAATATGTTAATTTTATTTAAATTAAATATAAAATATTATATAATATAACTACTAGTGTAAATATTAATTATATTAAGAATATAAAAATGTCTATCATAACTTGTAATTATATTATAATTATATAAAATGTATTTACTTCTTTAAATAATTTACCTACATTATTTTCATCTTTTCCAAAATAATGCAGTTACAACTTATGATATACATATGAGGCTATTTTAGAAATGAAAATGTAGAAAAAAAATTTATGCGATAATAGGGGTGAATTTTTTGAAAAATGAATGAAAATTTTTCAAAATTTTAAATAAAAAAAAATTATCTTTTATTATTTTTAATTAAGTGAAAATACCTATTATTATTTAAGCCATAGCAACACCATATTTCACCAAATTTATTGGTAAGTACTATTACTTTATTAGTCAATCGAAAGACGCTTGAAGCAATGATTCATGAATGGGAATCAAGGACAGCATAATATTTTTTTTAAAAATTGTTAAATCCTATTATCAAAAATTTTATTCAAAAAATTTAAAAAACAAATTAAAATTCAAAAAAGTAACTTGGTACTTAATGGGTTAATATCGTATAAAAGCATTAAGTTTGATCAAGATTAATTAAGATTAGAAGCAAACTTTGAATTTTAAAAACTCTACCTAATACATTTTGATTCTCATTGTTTTTTTTTTTGAGTAAATTTTTATAGCTGCTAAAAATTAACAAAAAAAAATCGTCCAGTTTATTCCACGAATATAATACCCACGTAATATTATATAATATAATAATACTGTCGTATTAAATAAATAAATTTATTTTTAAATTTTTTTAAAATAAATTACAAACCAAATTTATCGTAAATTTATTTGATAACATTATGGGGAAATTGCTTTTTTGAAATGCCAACGCAAACAAAAATATTTTTAATTTAGATAAATTTGTTATTTTATTTTTGTTTATTTTGTTTTTCATTAACTTTATTACGATACGATAAAACAAAAAAAAAAAACAAAACGATATTGTTATGTTTGACATTCTCTTCTGTATTCATGTACATACATACATATATCTTATTGAAAATTTTAAAATAAATAGAAATAAATTTTTCAAACCAAGTTGATAAATAAAAATTCTGGAATTCTGTTTAAATTTTAAAAAGCATATGAGCTGATTCGTTCTATGTTATTTTAGTATAACTACAAATTGCGACAATTTTCAAAGCTAAATTTTATCAATTCTCATATCTTTTTATACACTAAATTATTACGAATTGTACTATAACAACTATGCACATATTATTTAAACTACATGCAAAAAAATATTAATTTTGAAATTCAGAAATTACCGTACACGCCCGCGTTTACCTATTGGTGTATGGAAAGAAATTAATAAAAAATTTAAAGTGACTTTTTACTATATTTGATTATGAAAATATGATATTATTCCAATTACTGGGTATTAAGCTATTCCAATTATTAAGCAATATTTAGGCCAACATAATTAGGCAGAGTATAAGTTCTATATTAATTATGAAATTAAGAATAATAAATTTCAAAATAATATATTCATAACAAATAATATTTACTATAAGAGAAAATTTAGTTTTCCATATTATGAATCATTTATTAACTGATTTTTTGAATATATGAATGTATCCAAATTTTTCAATATAGAATATAATATATTCGAAACAAATTTAAGTAGTTTTCTCTCATGACTTCTTCTAATAGGCTTTTTAAAGCTACCCACTGCTTACTTTTAGTTGATGTTCATACTCAAATTTGTTTTAAGTAAATCAAATATATGAACATTTAGAAATCATCAGCACATTTATAAAATTATTTTTAACAGATTCACTGCTTAAATCAATGTACTTAAGCCAATCAATTACGAAGTACGTGATAAATTTGATATCATAAATTATTTGTATTGAATTTTTTAATTTGATTAATTATATTATTAATAAAAGACCATACAAATAAAGAAAGTTTAAAAATTAAAATAAAATTAAAATAAAAACATAAAACAAAGTTTATAGGTTCATCTTTCATATTGAGTTCAAGAGCCCTGAACCTTAAAATGAAATTTAGAACCCAATTCAAAATTTTTACGTCAAAAATTCAAAAAATTCACAAAATATTATCATTAATATATAAAATATAAAAAAAATAATTTAATTAATTATGTAGAATAAATAAATAATTAGTTATGTAGAAAAGTATGCATAGTAAATTTGCAAAATTAATTTTAAATGAATATATAAAATTAAATAAAGATTAAGTTAATAAAAAGAAATTATTAAACATAATATATTAAAGTTAATGTTGCATAAATATATGAGTGTATTATAATATATCAATATTATAACTAGCTATATTAAAAAATATTAATTTTAATATTAATATTTATTAATTGTTGTAAAAATTACTGAAACAAAAATTAAAACAAAGAACCATTATAAAACCGATTAAAATATTTTATATATAATATTATTATGACAAATATAACATTTAATGTATGAATGAAAAATTGAAATTTCTTAATATAAATAACATTAAAATGCTGTTTATAAAAATACTAAAATATTGTTCGATAATTAATAATAAAGAATGTAATTATAAGATATAAGTATATAATTATATATTATAATATTGAGTTAGTATTAAAATAAGAATAATATAATATTAAGTTTTCTGAACATGAACATCGTAGATAGATTTTTTATTAAATTAAATACTCGAATAATTTTAATTTTATAAAATTTAGTTATTGTAAAAATTTATTAAAAATATTTTTTGAAAAATCAAAAAAAAAAAATAAAACAAATGTGTATATAATATAATACATATATATTTATTAAATTAATATTATTATAAAACGTAATATTACTAAACTAACATACATACATATTATATAATAAATATATGTATGTAACAAGCAGAACTTATATATATAACACGAAATTAATAAAATTTTTGAATTACAAAAATTAAAGTTTTAAAAATAAAAAAAAATCACTAAAAATAAAAGTTTAAATTTGAATAAGATTCCATATTCATAATAAAATTATATATTTAAAATAAATTGATTAAAAAGAAGAAAAATATTAAAAATAAATGTTATTAAAAACTGGAAAACAAAAACTACATATGAGTAAATATTATAATTAATTATTATTTATAAAAAAATAAAAGAAAATGCAAAAAATTAAAAAAATTTAAAATATCAAAAAAAATAAATAAATAAATAAAATCTATATTAATACATAATTATAAAAGTTAATCAAATTTTAAATATTATATACAAATCAAATTAAAATAATAAAAAAAAAATAAAATATAACATAAATTATAATGGTGTATAAATATTGTATAAAAAAATTGGTTTAAATATACATGCATACATACATATTATATGTGTATATATTGTAGTATATATGTATATGTAATTAATTAGTTATTGTATTAAATAAATTTAATAGTTTATTGAAGAAATCTTAATAATATTAAAGAGTCAAATAAATGAATTAAATATTAAATTTAAAAATGAAATTGTGTTTTTATTCTTATTTTTTTGTTTTTTTTAATATTTACTTCTTTCAGGTTAGCTCAAATATCTTCAATATATAAAATAAAATCTTCTTTTTGAAGATTGGATAAAAAAAAGAAACATCACAAACACTTTCAATTCTTGAAGTAAAATTGAAAAAAGTAAAAAGTCAAAATATAACAATTTCAATTCGAACCAAATTAGACACAAACAAGAAAAAATTGAGTTGGGCCTGTCACCTTTGTGATAGCCGAGCGAATTTGTTATCCTGTGGGCGAATACACATGCCATAGCTGGCTGTGGTACAGACTATGACTTTAAGTTAACGTATTACCATATTAATTTATGCAAAATTTTGGTACTGTGATTTTAATATTTTCTAAGACATGACCAAATAAGTTTTGAAGTTGTATGTCAGCTACCACATGGAGCCAAGTATTTTCAACGACACTTATCAAACATATTGACCCTATATAGTTTTTGATATATAGCCCAATAAATTTTGAAGTTGTATGGTAGCTACCCAAACCAGTACCTTGATCATTTCCAATTAATTTTTAAGTTATCGCTGGGACGGCCGGATGGACGGACGAAAAGAAAAAGCTAAATCAACTCAGAATTCGATGCTGATCAAAAACATACACTTGAGTTTATATCTAAGACCGTTATTTCTCAACGTTACAAACGATAAAGCAAATTTAGTATAACCTTTCAACATACGTTCTTGCTGGCGCTGACTTCTTTTAACCCTGAATTTATATCGAGTTGTAAAAAATAAGCCCACATAAAAATTTAAAATGAACTGGTTGGTGATACGAGAACGTTCCATATGGATGTGGGAAGATAGTAGAGAATGTATATGAGAAAAAATTTAGCTTAGCATTATACCTTATATAACACACAATGGGCATATTTAGGAGGATTGTGCAAGTGCTTTCAGTAAAAATTTTATCAGGATACTGGTTGAATTAATCGTAAATATATTTTCTAATGAGAATTTTCATTTCCTATTACTTTTTTGCTTTTGAAGAAGTTTTGCAACACAACTCTATTCAACTCATTTTTTGTAAAGTTGACATTTTCTTAGTTTTGAGAAAAAATCGTTCGGAGGGAAATGATATTTATTGATTTGTACAAAATTGTAGACTAGTTCAACATTTTAATTGAAGCGTGTTGACGTTCAAGAAAAAATTACAAATGGAAATACAATCAGGGAGACAAATACGAATTTGAAGATTCCTTTGCAAATTTTTGCTAAATGTGAATAAAAAAACAAGTTGATTTTTGATTCAAGGCAACTTATTAAAAACTTACGTCCCAAATATAACGCAATTGCATTTATTAGAAATTTTTTGTTACGAGTATAAGTAATTTTCACTATCTCAATAGAGTTGATTTTCAATAGCTTCTTAAGCAATATTGACAAAGCAAACATTTATTTTTCTTTGCAATTAAATTCAAATTAATTAAAATTTATACAATTATTTGTTGATATTTACTAAAACTTACAAGTCAATCAAATAAGTAATATTATTTTCAAAACTAAAAGATATGAAAACATAATCAAATTCTTTAAAAAGGCTATTTTAAGAAAGAATTTATTTAGTTGAATAAAAAACTTTTAAGCATAAGGTGGCAAATATTTTAAAATTTTTGAAATGTTTCAATCAAAATTATGCATTTTGTTGCATATTGTATTGGTTTTTATCTTAATTACTTTAACTAAAGGATGTCCAGATGTTAACACAAAAGGAAAAACCATAGAAAAAGATTGGTGGGAAACATCATCCTTCTATCAGATATATCCGAGATCTTTCAAAGATTCGAACGGTGATGGAATAGGCGATTTAAAAGGTCAATTTATTATTATTATATTCTCTTCAAACTTTTATACATTCTCTATTTAGCAATAATTACTTTTCTTAAATTTGCAATGCCACCAATAGACCACACTTTCGGTTATACTGAATATACCCATAATGAATATTAATAGAAAATAAATTGAACCATTTTTTTCATTTTTATTTAAAAAAAAAAGCAATTTTAGGTATTTTTACAATTTCTTATTCGAATTTTTACAGGAATAAAATCAAAATTACAACATTTAAAAGATATTGGAGTAAACGCAACATGGCTATCACCAATATACAAGTCACCAATGGTAGATTTCGGTTATGATATTTCAGATTTTTACGAAATTAATCCTGATTATGGTACAATGAAAGATTTTGAAGAACTGATTGAAGAAGCTAAAAAGTTGGGAATAAAAATTATATTAGATTTTGTACCAAATCATTCAAGCGATGAAAATATATGGTTTCAAAAATCTATTAAACGTATTGAACCTTACACTGATTATTATGTATGGCATAAAGGAAAACCAAATCCTGATGGAGGTAGACCACTTCCGCCAAGTAATTGGGTAAATAAAATAACGTTATACTATTATTTAAATACAATTTTTATTTTATGAGAACTGAAGTAAAATCTTCGTTATTTTATTTTTTTTTCATTTTATACTAAAAAATATGTATTAGTTACAAGCTTTTAGAGGAAGTGCATGGGAATGGAATGAAGAACGTCAAGAATACTACTTACATCAATTTGATATAAAGCAACCTGATCTTAATTATAGAAATCCTGTTGTTGTTGAACAAATGAAACATGTTTTAAGATATTGGCTTAATAAAGGAGTAGCTGGATTTAGAGTTGATGCAGTTCCATGGTGTTTTGAAGTAATATATCTAGAGTTTTCACTTGGAAAAACCGAATTATTAAATATTTTATTTAGGTTGCACCTAAAAATGGCGAATATCCTGATGAACCTCCTAGTGGTTTCACTCAAGATAAAGAGGAAGCAGCATATTTGAGTCATATTTATACACAAGATCAACCAGAAACAGTTGATATGGTTTTTCAGTGGCGTCAATTATTAGATGATTACCAAAGAATTCACGGTGGCGACACACGTGTTTTAATGATTGAAACTTATTCATCACTCGATAACGTTATGAAATTTTATGGAACACGTAGCATTAAAGGGGCTCAAATGCCATTCAATTTTCAATTCATATTGCAGGGAAATAAAGACTCTTCAGCAAAAGATATCACAAATATAATAAAGAGTTGGTTTAACAATATGCCTGGTGCTTATACACCAAATTGGGTGGTAAGTTTAAAATCATAAATTTATATCTTATTTATCATAAATTTCTGAGTTATAAAAAACCAAAACATTGTTAGATGGGTAATCACGATCAGAGACGTGTTGCTAGTCGCTATGGTGTCGATAAAATTGATACAATGAATATGATCTTAATGATATTGCCTGGTGCTGCTATTACATATAACGTATGTATTGAAACTTCTTATATTTGCATTTATACAGCACTATAATTTTATAAATTTGTATAAAAAGGGTGATGAAATTGGAATGATTGATGGTGATATTAAATTTGAAGATTCTAAAGATCCTGCTGCAATACGTGCTGGTCCCGAAAAATATCAAAAATTCACAAGGGATCCTGCCAGAACTCCAATGCAATGGGATGATTCTACAAGTGCAGGTGTCAAAGATCCCATTTTATAATTCTTACAATTTCAAAAGTATTTTTACTTACTTTTTCCAACATTGAATATAGGTTTTTCAACAAGTGAAAAGACATGGTTACCAGTAAATCCAGATTTTAAGGAAAAAAACGTTAAAACAGAGACCGCTACACCAAAAAGTCATTTAAATGTTTATAAATCTTTGATTAAATTACGTCAGCAAAATACTTTGAAATATGGAACTGTTAAATATACAACTATTGATGATAATATTTTATTAATTGGGCGGTATCCAGTAACTGGAAATAATGATGCAATTTATTTATTGGTTGCCAATATAAAAAATGAAAAAAAAAGTGATGTTGATCTGACAACAGCAAATTTGAATTTACCACAATCAATGAAATATGAAGTTGTTTCTGTTTCATCAGGTCATACAATTGGGTAAATTGTCTTAATAATAATTAGGAATGATATTTGCTTACATCTCTTTTTTTTATTTAGGGAAGTCGCAAATGTGAAGAAATTTACTTTGGAGCCGTATGAATCAGTAATATTAAAGTCAAATTAAAACTTTAAAAAATTTTAATCCTTTTGTAAATAAAAAATAAAGTTTTTCTCATACAATTTTTATTCAAATCGTAATTTTAAATGCAGTTTTTATTTCTATATAGTTCAATGTGAACTCTTATTTTTAACTCAATGGAGTAGACTCGAGTTTGGACGAGTATAGAGGAGAAATGTCGTTTGAAACGCACGATTAAAATAAATTTTTTTATTTTTACAATTTTTCGTTTTTTTTTTTCATTTTTAGTTGAAAGGCGATTTTATTTTCTAGCTAAAATTTGTCTCCAGTAAGAAAATATTTATGCATTTTTTTCTTTTTCAAATATTTTCATTAAACTTATAAAATAAGTTTCCGTCTTTGGGCAATAAAACTATATTCAATATTTCTAATAAATATATAAATTTATTTCATTTTACTGTGCATCATATAGTACATTTGTACATTATTTTTCGGTTTCATTTTGGACCACATAGTTATAATAATTATCAAGTGTTCCTACACTATTTGGGGACCTTAATACAGCTGCTTCCTTCGGTAATAACAACAATTCTCTTGAGGAAACTTTGTCACTAGAATTAAACAAAAAAACAAATAAGCAACTGAACCACATTATCTACTTCTAAATATCAGATAAACACAATAATTTGAGTAATAATAACAAAATTTTAGAGAAAGGGTACAATCGGAAAGTAATCAAAAATGTGCACTAATGCAGCGTCGATGCAAAAAAATATTGCTGATGCTATATCGATGTGAGATGTGTATCTTGCTGATGCGATAGAATTTTGACATTTTTGGAAATTTTCTAAATCTAATGTTTTCTGGCGTTTATTTGGAAAATAAACGCCAAAATTATTAACAACTGAAAATCTATTAAAAAGAATTTTTTAATTTCAATTAAGTTTTGGAGATCTTAATATAATGGAAAATTTAAAAATATTAACACTGTTAAAGAAATAATTAACTTTATTAGTTATTGAGCTTAAATAATATGTTATTTACTTTTCAGCTTCCATTTAAAAGACTTTGCATCAATACAAAATCACAAAAAAATTGATGGACAGTTGATTTAATATGGTGCGCATACGATGCGTATTTTTGACATTTTTGAACACCAAATATTTAAAGTATTACCGTATCGATGCATTTTCGTACATGATTTTTACATGACTACTCATCGATGTTGCATTGATTACGAGTACTTTCCGATTACACTCAAAGTTTATGTTTTTGATGAGAATATTAAACCCAAAGATTTTAAATGAATGAATGTTAAATATAATGTATACATCAAAAACATATTTCATAAAATTAAATTTTACCCAATTGTGTGCGGTGATCTGTCTGTAACAATAGCATATTCTAAAATCGTTGGAATTATTGGCATATAAGCTTGCAAATTAATAGTTTCAATATTGTCGTTTATATTCATTACAGTTACATAATGTTGTCCTTTATGAGATCTATAAATACAAAAATAGTAGCAAAAATATTTAAATTTTAATTTTATACGTAAGCTGAATACAAATTTTGATACATAACCTCAAAATAGCTAAAACATTATTGTTTACTGCTACAACTCTTGCTTTGAAATTGCCTTTAAAAACTGGATCATTTCTTAGAGCTCTTAATGCTTTATAAATATTTAGTTTACTTCTTGCAATTGACCTTTCACGCATTACATTCACTTTATCGTAATCGGGTGCCATTGGTAGCCATGTTTTATCAGCTGTAGAAAATCCAGCATTTTTTTGGTTATTCCATTGAAACGGTGTACGTTCTGGATCTCGACTTAATGTTGCATATTTTTCTTTATTAGAATTACAAGCTTGGGGATCTTTTGTATCCTCCCATGATATAAAAACATCGGTCATGCCAATTTCTTCACCTTGATATGTCACTGCAATTCCTGGTAAGGTCATAATCATCATATTCATCATGTCAATGCGATCTGTACCCAATCTTGATCCAACACGATTTTTATCATGGTTTCCAAGCTGTAACAGTTAATAAATTAAGGTTTTTAAGAGTTTTATGAAAAATTAAACAAGTTATATTCTTACCACCCAATTTGGAATTCTTTTGTCGTTCATTTGATCAAGCCATAAATTAATTGTTTCCGCATATTGTTTAGCATTTGTTTCATTATTAATATTCTGAATTATAAAAAAGTTAAAAGGTACATGAGCTCCTAATTTACCTTCATCGCTGCCATAATATTTCATTGTTACAGTTAAATTTGACCACTGCTCAGTCAGTAAAACCCTTTGAATTAAAAATAAAAAATTAATAAAAACATTAAACCAAATAATAATTAATTTACTTAGTCTCCGATCTTGTTTTTTCTTGATAATCATCCATTACTGATCTCCATTCATATACTAAATCAAGAGTTTCGGGTTGATCAACAGTACAATTATGTATTAAATATCCATAATCATCCTTATCTGTGGCACCATCTCTTACTGGTTCGTCTTGAAAATTCCCATTTTCGTCTGTTGGGCACTCAAAAACATGTGGTACAGCATCAATTCTAAAACCATCTACACCTTTTTCTAACCAATATAATAATACTTTTTTCATTTCATTCTTCAAGTCTTCGCTATGATAATTAAAATCTGGTTGACCGGCAGTAAACTGATGTAAATAGAATTCTTCACGATCTTTATTCCACGTCCATGCAGGTCCTCTGAATACACTGATCTATAATTTTTTAACAATTAAAAAATGAATTGATTTGAGCCTAACATCCATTTTGAAACAAATATAAAAAAATAGTTTTTAAATAATATTCTTAATAAAATTATTTTTTCAAAAAAAATGTATTTATTTAACAATTTTGCAGAATATTATTTAGAAATTTAGATAATTAAACTTTGTTCAATAAAATTTTATATTCAATATCTGCTTTCATAAATTTTTCTAAAGTTCAGAAGGAAGCCAATCATCTATCTACTATGTACATATTGTTTAGATTTTATATAATCAAACATACCCAATTACTAGGTGGCAATCGTTGTCCTGGGTTTTTTGGATCTTCTTTACCCTTATGCCATACATAATAATTTGTATAAGGTTCAATTTTATGTATAGATTTATTGAACCAATCACATTGATCACTTGAATGATTTGGCACAAAATCTAAAATAATTTTTATTCCAAGATGTTTAGCTTCTGCAACCATTTCTTCAAAGTCTTTCATAGAACCAAAACGTTCGTCAATTTTATAAAAATCAGATATATCGTAACCAAAATCAACCATCGGTGATTCAAAAATTGGTGAAAGCCATGTTGCCGTTACACCAATTTCTTTTAAATATGGCAATTTTGATGTGATTCCTAAAAAAAAGGAATAGGAAACGGAGTAAATAAACTTAAATATAATTCTAATAAATAAAAGATATATTCTGTATGTTAGTTCAACTATGCATAGTAAACTTTCCAATTACTTTTTATTGTTCCGTATTTTAAATTATAATTTAATCAAGCAGTTTAAATAGTCTTTCAATAATAAAATAAATATTTAATAGTAAATCATGTAGATAATAACTCAAAACTAAATTGACATATTATTGTAAGGTTAATATATGTATATATTGATAATTTGGCATACTTCACAAAATTCATACCTTTAAAATGAAAAATCAATTAAAGATAAGTCGTGATATTTTGAAAATAGAAATTTTTTTATTATTTTATTGCTTAATGTATGAAAGTTATTAAATGATAATAGCATGAGCAATTATCATATTTCCAAAAAAGTACACGAAGTTAAAAAAAAATCAATCAATTTCACTTATTAGTAGTTATTTCAATTATAGGACTCTCTGTTAACCATATAATCAATTATATCTGAACTTATTCTTATATAATATGGATTATCATTTATCATACTGAAACAAGACTATAAAATAGTACGATTTTTGCCGGAAACAATTTTATACGATACACAATTTCATTTCAATTAAGTGTTATTGTAAAATTATTTACATATTTCTTTTAAATTAACTTGTTCCGTCAATTGTTTTTTCATGTAAATTATACGTCATTATTATTATTGAGTTATTATTATCTACAAACATTTTATGACCTCAAATACAATATTAAGTTGAATGACATTCATTTTGGCAGTAGACTTGAATTGAATTGAAAGTTCAATATAAAATATAATTTTTTTAAATTATCACATAATTTATTTTTAGAATAATATATACTGCATATACAACTTATTACGAAATAAAAAAATTTCACTGTCTCCTGCATAGCAAAAAAAAATCAAGCTGATAGAATCACTTATGAAAATATTAATGTAGCTGTAACGCAATATCAATAATAAAGAAACGAACCTTTTAAATCACCAATACCAGTACCATTACTATCTTTAAATGATCTTGGATAAATTTGATAAAAATTTGCGTTTTTCCACCAATCATTATTTCTTTCAATTAAATTCACTTTGTTATTTAATGATTGATATTCATATCGAAAATTTGGATAAACCCCAGCTAATATTACGTTAATAAAAATTGAAATTTGTAAAAAAAAAAATAATCCAATACAACGCAACATTGTAGCGCAATTAAATGCTTTGTAATCACTTTTACGCTTTAAATTATTAATTTATTATCACTATTATAATATAGAACTAATCTTAATAGCCTTTGAATTTATACTAAATTTTGTATAATTTATGGTGATTAATTTATATTAAAATTTATTCCAATCTTTATTGAAATCCAACTAAATTATGATAACAACTACTGCAACAACAAAACTAATAATGAGATCAAATTTTTTTGAGATTTCTTTGTCGTAATACGAGTACATTCTTAGCATGCACGATATTATTATGTATGAAAGTATAATGTTTGAGAGCAATTTTATTATGTATATTATTATGTTTCTGTGTGACATTTGACTCATGAAAAATTCCACTCGTTATGCGACAGGGATTAGTACTGTAGATTATTTTGAGTATTATAAAGATAAACGAAATGTAAAAGAAAATTCTTCAGTTTTTCATGATTTCCAAATAATATTATTTTAATATATTTCTGACTAACTAATTATAAATCTAAATTAAGTTCTATTAAATTAAATTTGAAATAACATTGACGAATACTGTGTTATACCGAAAGATTGTGAGGAAAAATAGAGTGACAACCCTACCCAATCTAAGTGTCAAGTTAATTGATTCTGTTTAGCCAAAATTAATATAATAAAAGAGATATAGCCTAGCATACATTCAATAAAATTATCTGAGTTTAAATTGTGGACAATTTTTAAATTTGTTTTTTCTTTTTATTATTTAAATTTTCAACAAAATCTGAAAACCTTTTATATGGAAAATTTTAAATAAAATGTTTAAAATGACATTTAAATTTTATTCCTTTTTATTAAACACTCGCAAAATCATGGAGGGATTATAAAACTTTAAAAGAATTGATGGACTCTGGGTTTCTTGAATTTCGTGCTGAATTAGATAAGACTTTTTTTTAGCCCGGCTATAGATCCATAGATATACATTATGCAATCTTTGTTCATCTATTTTTGGCTATCTCAACTTTTTGCTAAAATCATATTTTTTTAGCTAAATTATTAGCTAAATAAAGATAGGGCTAAATTATATAAGATATCTTAAAGCTACAATTAATCTAGTTTTTACATTTTTCTCAATAAACTAAGTTACATCTATCCACACAAGATGACATTATACCATTTCATTCAGTTCAATAGGTACATAATGATATTTATTATAACGGTATTCATATGAACATAAGATTGAAAATATTAGACTTAACTACAAAAGAAATAACATACATAACATATATAAAAATAAAGAATGTTATAACAAACTTATTAATACTAATTACACTCACATTGCATATGCAAATGCACATTAACTATGTACCGGCGTAAAATTAAAAACATGGTTGTACATACAATCATAATGTGTAAATGATTGTCAAAAATTTAAAGTACTTAATGCAAAACTTGATTTCTTTTTTAAATTTAGTGAAAAATAAAAAATAAATTTTATATCTCGAATTTAGAAATAATAATAAACTACTTATTATTCATTTAAATAGACGAATGTACATACATATGAAAATACTATATAATTTTTAGCAATTTTCCAAAAACATTTAGAAAAAAAAGTGCTTATTAGTTTCACTCTGTCCGTCCGTCCGTGTGTCTGTTTGCAAAACCTCTACACCCTTGAAGATAAAAAGCTAAAATTTTGTATGTACATAGATCTTTACTAGAAACTTATTTCTGTAGAACAAAATTTTTACCTATCTCACCCCCTTTAGAAGTTATACCCCCCCAAAACCCTAAAAATTGCCTTTTTTAACTATTTGTTGCAATGAAACCATAAGCATTTTTGAAATTTTGCAAACGCAGAAAGGCAGCGGCTTGCTTCTTCTATTGCGGTATACTATAGTTTAACTTTATAAAAACAAAATGGCCGTTCAAATTTAGCGTTATCTAAAGTCTTTTTTTTTCAATTTTTGATTTCGTTTTTCTTCTAGACCCCAGCATGTAGAAGCTTAAAATTTTAGGGACTTTTAGACATTAACAAATAGTTTATTTCGTTAGAAGAAAATTTTTTTCCATCTCCACCCCCTCTCAAGTTATCGCCTCTTGAAATTTGTAAAATTTGAATTTTTGACACCTTATATTTCCAAAATCGCAAGCTTTTTCAAATTTCTATAAACACAAAAAGCTAACGGTAAATTCCATGACATTAAAAAATATAATTATTTTTCTTAACTCACACAATTAACCCTTAAAATCGAGCATTGTGTTAACCCCACTTTATATTAATTTTTGCTTTATTTCAAAGACTGCATAAATCATTCATCCTAAATATATGCAATCCTAGAGATAGTTTCGTATATGAATGAAAATAATTTTAATAGAGTGATTGGTATACATAGACTGTATTTAAAAGCAGTATTTTCACTTGTTGAAGGGAAAAGTGCTACTATACAAACCATTGGTTTGACCCAACTTTATAATATTTCAAATCACTGAATCGATACAGATTTCTAAATTATTATCTCACATTAATTACTTACACTTGTCTACGTAATATTATAGCTTTATATTTTATTATTTATCTTATCAATTAATTATATCAAAAAAGTGACGACATTTAGGAGTCCTACTGAAATATTTATTAAAAAAGTTAGCTGAGATTTTCACGTGAATTTTTTAAGTATCTAATTATATAATATAGTATATATGTACGTACTTAAAAACTTTATGTAAACAAATTATTAAAGGGTTGCAAATACAATTTGATTAATGTTAATAGAATATTGTAAAATATATTTAAGTTAACGGTTTGACGAAAAATTTTAAGCTAAACGTTAGTTGCTTCATCGGAAATGCTAAACTCGTTCTTTTCATGACATAAAAAATGTAAATTTTTAACATATTCGCGCACACATTGAGTCATTTTGTCAGGATAGTGCGTATATAAAAATTTCTGAAAATTTAAAATAGTGACAGTAACATACATATGTACATATATAACACTATTGATTCACTAATAATTCTAAGAATCTGAATCTTGCCTGATCTCAATCCTCTATCTCGCTATTTTACTCGGAAAGTGAGAAAAAAGTCAGAAACTGTCATATAATTGTATAATGTAATTTTCGAGTAAAAAGAATTATTCCCTATTGTGTGTTTTCTGTAATGTACACAAAATTTATTTACTTCATTTCTGAAAGTGAGACATTCAGCCAATAATTTGAGAAAAAATGCAAAAATCCAATGGAAAAAGTGAGTAATATTATGTTGGATATCTAATGACATTTAAAGAATCTCTAAGTTAATAGAAGTTGACTTTGTTTTTTGTTAACTCAACAAAAATTCTGAGTTTGACTTAAGGACAATTAAATTAAGAATCGCGGGAATAAATCTAATGATGAATTTGTTGCGCTTGATCACAGTTTTATTACAATAAATTGAATAATTGTAACTTTTAATATTATACAAGTACGTGTGGTAGCTATTATTATACAAATACGCTATTGTTATACATGTTGTCCCTATATAAAATTTTATTTACACGCTTTTATTTTTTTATCACAAAATAATACCAAACTATAATAATCTAATAGTAAGTTATCTAAAATGTTATCAGTATGAAAATTTCAAATAACTTTTTATTGATTAAAAAAAATATCAATTGAACGATTTGTATATTTTTTCAATTTTTATAAAACATTGTTATCGTTCTGTAAATATTTACTTAAAAAATCATTCCTACACAACATTTATGAAATTGATGCATTTATGGTAGAATTTAAACCTTAATTAAAATGCAAAAAATGAAAATAATCAAGTAAATATTTATTTAAACGCACATTATTATTTTATAAGTGTTTATTGTAAAAGAAGGAAACTAGACCATTTATTATTTTAAATAAGATCAAGTCAACAAGAAATAAGAATCTGATATAGAAACCATATAATAGTGTATATATATAAGATTATAATATTACTCGTACGGAAATCTCATTAAATATCTATCTTTTATCTGGTATACATGTTTTAATGAACAGGAACGAAAGCCTAAATTGATATTAAAATACCAGAAGCCACGAAATCAATTATTTATTCCAAAATATATACAAAGATAAAATAATTTTAAAGAATAGCATTTTTATTAATAAAATCAAAATAAAAATTAAACATTTTCAATGTAATTTGAATTATATAAAATAAATAAAAATTTTATAAAAACTACTTTACTACTAAACTTTACAACACAAGTATTTTTTAATCATCTATACTAATTGCAAAATTACGTCACTATTCTACTCAATTTTGATTGTATAATTATTGGTAAAGCAATCGCAATTCCGCTCTAATAATTGCAATATTAATAAAAAAAATTTTGAATTAAAAAAATTAACCACAGATTTTGTTGTTTCATAGTATATAACATACCTAAATGAACTGAAATATTCCCACAGTAAATTAAGATTCAATTTAAGTAAAAACAGAAGATGAATTTTCTAAATAATTTTTGAAGATCTTAAACAATTTTGTTTTTTTGGATAATGGATTAGCTTTGATAATTTTAATCTTAAAATGTTTGAATGAATCACACATTGTGCAAGAAACGCCGACTGAAAAAATTCTCGACTAGAAAGAAAAATGGTTATGTTGTATGTACATGACATAATATTATAGTGTACAACAAAATCATCTGTAGCATACGTACAACGTTTCAAAAATAATATGTTCATTATACAAATATACATACATAATAATATGTAATATGACAATTTGTAAAATAATAATGACAAAATATTCTTATATTCTATAATATTATTTTTACTGCTGAACAGTAAACGTGGCAGACATTTTATTCATCAACAATTCTAATTTTTAATATTGCAAAAAGGAACAAATGGTAAATATTCACTTCAAAAAAACCGACTCCCCTAATAATTTAATAATTAAATTTTAACATCTTGATTACAAAGTAAATAATTTATTTAAGTAATCTGAAAAGTTTTCAAACAAATTTTCTCATAACATTTGTGTATAAAATGTACTGCATTGAGACTTTCATCTTATTTTCAGTGTGACACGCAAGAAGACACGATCACAATAATTATTGAATTAAAGTTGTATGCATATTTCTTAAAACATGAAGATATTTTTTTTGATAGGAATTACATTAATAGGCTTAACTCAAGCCAAAGATTGGTGGGAGAACGGTAATTTTTACCAAATATACCCCAGATCGTTCAAAGATAGTAACGGTGATGGTGTCGGTGATTTGAATGGTTAGTGTTTATAGCTTTCAACTTTTTAAAACATTTAAAATAAGTAAAAATTTTTCCTTTTTGTTTTTCTTTAATAGGCATCGCCGAAAAATTACCATATTTAAAGGAAATTGGAATCACCGGAGCTTGGTTATCACCAATATTTAAGTCTCCAATGGTAGATTTTGGTTATGATATAGCCGATTACCGTGTTATCCATCCAGAATTTGGCACAATGGAAGATTTTAAAAATTTAATCAAAAAGGCAAAAGAAATTGGAATGAAAATTTTTTTAGATTTTGTGCCAAATCATACAAGTGACGAAAGTGAATGGTTCAAAAAATCGGTGCAACGTATAGAACCATACACCGATTATTATATCTGGCATGATGGTATTATTGATGAAAATGGTGAAAGAAAGCCACCCACAAATTGGGTAAGTGCATTTCGTTACAGTGCATGGGAATGGAATGAAGATCGTAAACAATACTATTTGCATCAATTTGCCATTAAACAACCAGATTTAAATTATCGTAATCCAAAAGTTGTTACTGAAATGAAAAATGTCATCAAATTTTGGCTTGATATTGGTGTTGATGGTTTTCGTATTGATGCTGTACCATACATGTTTGAAATCGAAGCTGATAAAAATGGTAATTATCCTGATGAACCCGTTGATCCAAACTGCCCAAATCCAGACGATCTCTGTCATACATTAAAAATTTATACACAGAATCAAATAGAAACATTTGATATGATTTATCAATGGCGTGAATTATGTGATGAATATAAAAAAGAACATGGTGGTGATACTAGAATTTTATTTACTGAAGCTTATACATCATTAGAAAATGAAATTAAATTTTATGGCGATGGAAAACGTAATGGTTCCCATGTACCATTCAATTTTGAATTAATTTCTTATACAAATATGGGCAGCACAGCTACTGATTTTAATAAACATATTGACTCATGGTTAAACAATATGCCAAAAGATGTAATTGCTAACTGGGTTTTGGGTAATCATGACAACCATAGATTAGCATCGAGATATGGACCGGCACGAACTGATTTATTTAATATCATGTTAAACACTTTACCAGGAAATGCAATTACATACAATGTAATATTGTTTTCAAACTTAAGTAAAACATATTTTAATTATTTTTTTTTATTTTCCGTTTTTCTTTTTGAAATATAAGGGTGAAGAAATTGGTATGACAGATGTTTGGATATCGTGGGAAGATTCAGTTGACCCACAAGCTTGTAATACTGATCCGGATCGTTATTATGCTGTATCAAGAGATCCAGCTCGAACACCATTCCAATGGGACGCTTCAAATCTTGCAGGTAGATAAAAGTTTTTGTAAACATAATTATATTTTTAAAAAATAATACATTATGACGTTTAATTGATAACTGAAACCTCGCCAAAACATTCTTGCAGGATTCAGTTCAAGTACAAACTCTTGGTTACCAGTTGCTAAAAATTACACAATAAATAATGTTTTAATGCAATCGAGATCTCCAGTTAGTCATTTACAAGTTTTCAAAAAATTAACGAAACTACGTCAAGAACCGGCGTTCCAAACAAAAACTTTAAATGAAAAAATCGTTCACAACAACGTTCTACTTTATAGAAGGTTAATATATAATTTTTCTAGTTTATAAGTTTTTTCTTGAATGAATTTCAATTATTTACTTTTAGAGAAGGAAAAGGTGACAATTATATAATAGTTTTAAATTTTGGAAAAAATAGTGAAACAATTAATTTAAAAGAAAAATTCCCATCCATCACAAACAAAGTTGAAATTATAACTACTTCAATTCAATCAAAATACACCGACGGGTACGTTAAAAATTTTTAAAATTTTATAAAATTTGAACAGATATTTATTTTTTTTTTTATCATGATTAACATTAACAGAGAAATAGTTGACGCTACTAAATTTGTGGCTGAAGGCGAGGTTGGAACTGTTGTTGTATCAGTTTAATTGGACTTTTGTCAGGTGTTTCAATCCAAGCTTCAACAAAACGATTATACAAAAATAAAACTATTATAAATTAATAAAGTTATTTATTCCAAAAAATAAACAAAATATTGATATTAAAGTATGCATATGTAAAAACTATTTTCATTACTAAAGTTTTCACTAAATAGAAAATAACGTTCACAAATTAATTGGGGTAATAATAGCTCTAATATATTTCGTATTTGGCAATACCCAAATAATATTTTTCAAAACTTTAATTGGAAAGTATACGAGAAAATTCTTAAACTCACTAATTTGTTTAAAAACTCTAAAAATACATATATAAGATACAGGCCGTTATAAAGGAGTCTTTATAAATTACTAGCTAAATTTAAGTCAATTGCAACAGAAAAAGTAAAACCACCGCACAAAATTATTTTCAAAGGAACCGTTAGCAGGTTTAATTCCACCGAAAATATCAGTTATAATAAAAAATCTTCGTTCTTCATTTTTACAGTAAAGATGATTTCCATAAAACCAACGACTTGAATGGCAACTTTATTGAATGTCTTTTAACCATTTTGAGGTCTTTACTAATTGAACAGAAGCAACACTCTTTAAAAAAGACTGAACACATAATTGGACTGTAAGACGAACTAAATTTGCCTACTGCATTAGTCCGCATATTATGTGATAGTTGCTGTAGTAGCCTTACATACTTATCATAGCAAATAGCCAAACTGTCAGACATTTAATTTTTAAAAAATAAAAATTTTTTATAATGTAAAAATTCTAGCATATAGTAAATATTAACTTTATACTTAAGCAAAACTATAGCTACTTATTAAACAATTTAATTCTAATTTCTTGATTATAAAATAAATATTATATAGTAATCTCAAAAGTTTTTCAAAGAAAATTTTTCATAACGCTTATATATAAATAGAATCATAAAATGCACTCCACTCTATTTTAAATTTTACTACCAGTGAGAAACGCAATATAGTCCGATTGATAATTTTTTTTGAATTTAAGTTGTACTTCATTCATATTTCGTAAAGCATGAAGATATTCTTTTTAATAGGAATTACATTAATAGGCTTAACTCAAGCCAAAGATTGGTGGGAGAACGGTAATTTTTACCAAATATACCCCAGATCTTTCAAAGATAGTAACGGTGATGGCGTCGGTGATTTGAATGGTTAGTGTTTAAAGTTTTGAACTTTTCAAAACATTTAAAATAAGTAAAAATTTTTCCTTTTTGTTTTTCTTTAATAGGCATCGCCGAAAAATTACCATATTTAAAGGAAATTGGAATCGCCGGAGCTTGGTTATCACCAATATTTAAGTCTCCAATGGTAGATTTTGGTTATGATATAGCCGATTACCGTGTTATCCATCCAGAATTTGGCACAATGGAAGATTTTAAAAATTTAATCAAAAAGGCAAAAGAAATTGGAATGAAAATTTTTTTAGATTTTGTGCCAAATCATACAAGTGACGAAAGTGAATGGTTCAAAAAATCGGTGCAACGTATAGAACCATACACCGATTATTATATCTGGCATGATGGTATTATTGATGAAAATGGTGAAAGAAAGCCACCCACAAATTGGGTAAGTGCATTTCGTTACAGTGCATGGGAATGGAATGAAGATCGTAAACAATACTATTTGCATCAATTTGCCATTAAACAACCAGATTTAAATTATCGTAATCCAAAAGTTGTTACTGAAATGAAAAATGTCATCAAATTTTGGCTTGATATTGGTGTTGATGGTTTTCGTATTGATGCTGTACCATACATGTTTGAAATCGAAGCTGATAAAAATGGTAATTATCCTGATGAACCTATTAATGAAAATTGCCCGAATCCTGATGACAATTGTCATACAAAGAAAATTTATACACAAGATCAAATAGAAACGTATGATATGATTTATCAATGGCGTGAATTATGTGATGAATACAAAAAAGAACATGGTGGTGATACTAGAATTTTGTTCACTGAAGCCTATACATCATTAGAAAATGAAATTAGATATTATGGCGATGGAAAACGTAATGGTTCCCATGTAGCATTCAATTTTGAATTAATATCTTATACAAATATGGGCAGTACAGCTGCTGATTTCAATAAACATATTGACTCATGGTTAAATAAAATACCAAAAGATGTAATTGCTAACTGGGTTTTAGGTAATCATGACAACCATAGATTAGCATCGAGATATGGACCGGCACGAACTGATTTATTTAATATCATGTTAAACACTTTACCAGGAAATGCAATTACATACAATGTAATATTGTTTTCAAACTTAAGTAAAACATATTTTAATTATTTTTTTTTATTTTCCGTTTTTCTTTTTGAAATATAAGGGTGAAGAAATTGGTATGACAGATGTTTGGATATCGTGGGAAGATTCAGTTGACCCACAAGCTTGTAATACTGATCCGGATCGTTATTATGCTGTATCAAGAGATCCAGCTCGAACACCATTCCAATGGGACGCTTCAAATCTTGCAGGTAGATAAAAGTTTTTGTAAACATAATTATATTTTTAAAAAATAATACATTATGACGTTTAATTGATAACTGAAACCTCGCCAAAACATTCTTGCAGGATTCAGTTCAAGTACAAACTCTTGGTTACCAGTTGCTAAAAATTACACAATAAATAATGTTTTAATGCAATCGAGATCTCCAGTTAGTCATTTACAAGTTTTCAAAAAATTAACGAAACTACGTCAAGAACCGGCGTTCCAAACAAAAACTTTAAATGAAAAAATCGTTCACAACAACGTTCTACTTTATAGAAGGTTAATATATAATTTTTCTAGTTTATAAGTTTTTTCTTGAATGAATTTCAATTATTTACTTTTAGAGAAGGAAAAGGTGACAATTATATAATAGTTTTAAATTTTGGAAAAAATAGTGAAACAATTAATTTAAAAGAAAAATTCCCATCCATCACAAACAAAGTTGAAATTATAACTACTTCAATTCAATCAAAATACACCGACGGGTACGTTAAAAATTTTTAAAATTTTATAAAATTTGAACAGATATTTATTTTTTTTTTATCATGATTAACATTAACAGAGAAATAGTTGACGCTACTAAATTTGTGGCTGAAGGCGAGGTTGGAACTGTTGTTGTATCAGTTTAAAGGGCTTTTATCGGATGTTTCAAACCACATTTTAAAGTTTATCTTAAACTTTAAAAATATCTTTTAACATAAATCATTAAAAATTTATAAAATTATTTATTCCAGAAAATAAAAAAATTATTGTTTTACTAATGTGTATAAACAATATGTTTAATTCTTATGATAATTAATACTTATCCAAGATAAAAAAAGGACAAAATGTGGACATTTAAAGTTCGTTAATAAAACGTTTCATTTTTTTATGTTAACAAAATCTAAACTCTAATAATGTAATAGTGAACAACAAATATAAGGCTTACCAGAGCGTTTAAGAGTGTTTAATATTTCCAGTTTTCTATTTATTAAACATATTTTAATTTTCACTTTTAATTAAATTTCTAACGACCTTTCCTTACAATCCAGATTATCATTTGAAAAAACTCATCTCTTTTTAAGCGATTTAGTCAAGTAAAAAAAAGGACTAAAACTAGGATAAAGAAAAACCTGAAAATGAAAAAAAAAATTAAAATCCCTTTTTTTTATTAAATATCAAAACCAGTGAAGCTATTGATTCCTTTCACTTTCAATTAAAAACCTATTAAATTTCAATAAAACTAACCACATGGGTACTTCGCAACTATGTTTATATATTTATAATATAATAATAATAATATGTACATTTAATATACGTACACATACAATTTATGCGTCCATACACATACCTACATAATATATAACAAATATATCTCAACACATACATTTCAACAGTCAATAGTGTAGTCATACATATAAGCATAAAATTTATACAAGTTTGTGGAAATATATGTAAACATCAACTACACATTATCATATTCAATGGTTATAATATCCATATTAGTACAATTTATTATCATAGTACTAGAATTTTCCAAGTTTTTAATTTTACATAGACAGTGTACAAGATACGCGAATAAGCACAAATATTTCCAAATTGATTTTTCTAATATATCTTTAAATAGATCTAAACAATCATAAAAAATCATAAAATCTCTAAAATTTATATTACTAAATAAGTAATATATTACTAAGTAAGTACAGTTTCTACTCCTATCCATTTATTACTTATACCACAAAAAAAAAGTTTTGTGCAAATTGTTCCAAACAACAACTTTACTTTCACGAGTGTATTTAAAACTTTAATTTAAACATTTCTGACATTTTCTATATCGAGATGCCTTAAAGAATTCCAGAAACTATTAATAAATAAAAACCTTGAATACACTTACATATTAAATATAAATGACATACATGTGATAATCTGAAATAACAGCTAAATTAATATTTTAAGTTAATAAAAGAATAAATCTGCGATAAATTTAATGACTTTAACCAAAAAAACGAGAAAAAATGGAGTTGACCGTGTCAACTCTGTGATACCCGTACGAATGAATTATGCTATAGGCGACAAAATACGCCATAGCTACTGTGTTTTCAATATTTTCTATGAGAAACGAGTCAAGAAGTTTCAATGTTTTTTATCACATATAACAGCCCTAATAATACACTTGTTTCCACGAGATTTCGAAATTATAATTTCAATAAGTTCTGAGAAAATGCAAAATAACTTTTGAAGTTGTATGGCAGGTACCAGAAGGAGCCAAGTAATTTCCTCGACTTTTATGAGACACTTTGGCCCTACTAATATATTCATATTTGTGAAATTTCAATACCAGAACTTTTCATATCTCAGTTCCTGAGATACAGTCAAATAAATTTTGAAGTTGTGTGGCGGCCACCCGAACCAGTACCCCGGTCATGCCCAATTTAAATAGTTCTGGCACTTACTACAGTAAATCATTTGTGAAAATTTGGTTAACTTAGCTCAATTAGTTTTTGAATTATCGCTGATGCGGACGGACGGACAGACAAATCTAAATCGAGAATTTGACGCTGATCAAAAACATACACTTGAGTCTATATCTCAGACCATCATTTCTTAGCGTTACAAACGGTAAGGCAAATTTAGTATAGCCTTCGAACATACGTTCGTACGGGTATAATAAGATACGATTGATTGTATGTGCATAAATAACCATTTTGTATTTCAAAAAGAAACTAATTTTATAATAAGACATTTTTTTGTTATCTTGGCCCTGTTCCACCGAAAGCGTTATTTTTGAATAGGTACGCGTAATATGCGTATTCACATAACACAAAGTTTACAGTCATAAATTTAGTTGTTCTTGAAATTTGAAATTACTTGAAATTAATGCTTCACTCTGAATAAATATACAAAAATTTACTTTAACTTATTTGGAAACAATAATAAATTGTATTCAATATTACTTTCGACACCTTTATATTATTTCTTTCAAAATTTTTAACTCATGAAAAATTCAGGATCGAAGTTTTCTAGGTTCATAATCGTTTCTGGGTACAGGATCGTAAATACATACATGTTATGTTCTATGATAAAAAAAATGTTAGCAAATTTTGTACTCTGTCGTTTAAAATTTATATTACATATTATATTATTATATAACTTGTATAACATAAGTATATTTTCTTTTTTACTTTTGGAGAGTAATTTTATGGACTTCTTTGAAGGGGTTTTGAGTTCAGTTTAACGTGAGCTATATAAGACTTGATAAACTAGCGGGGCAAGGTACCTCCACAAATTTTGTATAACTTTCTTCTTTATAATCTAAGTGGAAGAATAAAAATTTTATGTTTACAATGATTATAGTCAATTAAGACTGCAAGATTAAGTTATCTAATTATTTTAATTTTTCTGATGATTTACCAGATGATATTGGAAATATTGACAATATTACCAAAATACTATATAATATTTTTCATATATGTTTTATATATATGTAAAAAAGAATCCTTGACTAACTACATATGTACGTACAATATTAATATATTTTATTTTTACACGCAACTACATATATACATAAAACTATCAAAAAGTAACAGATTCTTTTAAAGAACTCCTACTTATAATTGAGGGTCTCAGAAACAGAGTGGCGTAAGCCACAAACAAAAAAAAATCAGTGTAGATTTTTTTTTTTGCGGCAATCGGTTATGTACAGCTTACGCCACTCTGTTTCTAGTGCTATTTTTAGCACTATTGAAAAATCATTTGAAGAAAGTGTTTGTTGGTTTCACTACATCCGCAACATCCATTTTTTAAAACTTCAATACCATTTAAGATACAAAACCAAAGTTTTAAACACAAATAGATGCTTACTACAAAATTTTTGTCTGCCTCCCACCCTATCAATTAAATAGCTCTTCAAAAATCTAAAAAATGCATTTTTTGAACTTTTTGTTTTAGCGAAACTACAAACAGAATGGCTGTTAAAATTAACCGTTATTTAAAATCCATTATTTTCAAATTTTTAATATCATCCCAAAGTATGCAATGTTTTTAAATATTTTTGGTACAAGTTATATGTGTGAATACCTAGGTCCTAGACTATTTAATAAAAGCAGTAAATTTGAGTATTAGAAAACACAGTCGGTGGCTCTCAAAATTGAACCAAATATAATAATCTCGAGCCCAGAACGTTTGTATTAAATAATCTAGAAAGTTTTAAGAAGACCACGTATTTATAAACACATAAACCATATTGAAATCCTACAAAAAAAAAAAATAAAATAAAATCATAAAAAAAAAATTATAAAAAAATCAAGAAAAACAGTTTTGTAAAATTTACAACGTAATATAAAATTGTTGTTAGGTTTTAGAAGATATCGAGAATAATGATTATTTCTTATGCGGATAATATGATATAAAATTATCCTTGGTGATGATAACAAAGAATTGATTCACAATGGAAACGTGAAAAAGGAAAAGAAAATGAAAAAACAAATAAAATTTAGAAAAAAAAGAACTCTCTTCCTATTTTTATTTTCTTGAAGTTTTCATCATAGAAATTTAATGAAATAAAAATAGGATTTTCTTGTTCAACGAGTCTATTTAATATATTAGATGTATTACGACGATACACACATTCACATATTGTTGCGTTCTGCATAAAAATTTAATTTTTATATAAAAAATGTTACGGTTTTTCAATTATTTTGTAAATTCTCCTCTTAAATTTTCCTTCTTTGTTGTAGTCTACTTTTTTTTTTATCTTACATACTATTCTTGTCAGAAAATTTTATTTTAAATTGCTCTTCCAGGGTGAAAAATTTCCGAATAGATTAATTAGCGGTTAGCATAAAATCGAAAACTAAATCAAATTTTTCATTTAATGCTATATTTAAAGAAAGAAAGAAAATAAATTAAATTTAACAAAAATCAAGTGAATTTTAATTTTTACATTATATTAGTGGACAATGCATCTACTCGTTATTATCCATATATTCAAATTAGTTCATATACTCATACCAGATTACGAGTATTAGTCTCGACTATTAGTGAAGATACACGATATCTTGACTCTTTACATTTTAAACGCTAAATTTTTAAATTTTAAAATTCGACCTTTAAAATATTCAAGGCAATGAGGTGTGATTTACCGTATTGTTACTAATGCAATTTTATACACAGGACAAATCTAAGTACCTATAATAATCAATCAAAATTATGTGTGTTTAGAGACACAATACTCTTCTAATAAAAATTAACACGTAAACTAATTTTGACTTAGTTATTTTTATTTATTTAAATTGATATCATTTCAAAATCATTTTGGAATTAAAGAAATGTCTTTTTAAAATGATACAAGAACGCTTCCAACATTCGGTTCAGCATAAAAGTTGTCTGATTTTACACGATCCCTAAAAAATTTTATTAAAAATTTAACATATTTTTTTATATAGAACCAAGTATAATATTCTCACATTTTATTGTGCTCCGATTGCACGGAATTGGTAACAACAACCAATTCATCTGCTATTCTTGGAAAAAGTGATCGCAAATTTAAATTTTTACCTTCTTTATCTAAATTCAAAACAACAATAAAGGGAATATCTCCTGGATTTTCTCTGTGAATAATAAAATAAAATATTATTAGAAGTTGATAAGAATTTGCAATTAATATAACCTTTTATAAACCAATACATTGTCAACTACTTTCACTTCAATATCACCTTCTTGGAATGATGGATGCTTACGAATTTGTACTAAATCGAGAAATACTTTTAAATGACTTCTTGGTTTTAATAATTGTAATTTGACATTATTTTCACTATAATTATCTGCAACAGGTAACCAAGTTTTATTTGCGGTAGAAAAACCAGAATTTTTAGTATCATCCCATTGGAATGGTGTTCGAGCTGGATCCCGTGAAAATGAAAAATAATGATCTGGATCACTATTACAGGCTTGTGGATCGATTGAATCTTCCCATGATATATAAACATCAGTTAAACCAAGCTCCTCCCCCTAAAATTAATCCATAATAAAAGCTTTTAATCAAATTTTGCTGAAATAATTTTGGGTATGAACTAAATTACATTATATGTTACGGCATTTCCTGGTAAAGTTTGTGCTAAAATATTTAACAAATCTGTACGTTCTGGACCAAATCTAGATGCGACACGATGATTATCATGGTTACCTAAAACCCAATTAGCTGTAACATGTGATGGCATACGAACTAACCATGAATCAATGACATTAGCAAAATCTTGTGCTGTACTATTCACATTTAATTTAGTAATTATTTCAAAATTAAATGGAATTTGCGAACCATTACGAATACCATTGCCATAAAATTTCATATTATTGTCGAGACTAGTATAAGATTCTGTCATTAAAATTCTTGTTTCACCACCATGTTTCTTCTTGTATTCATCACATAATTCGCGCCATTGATATACCATTTCGAAAGTTTCAGGTTGATCTTTAGTATAAATTTTAACTGTATGACAATTATCATCTGGATTGGGACAATTTGTATTAATTGGTTCATCAGGATAGTTTCCATTTTGATCAGCCTCAATTTCAAACATATATGGTAATGCATCAATACGAAAACCATCAACACCTTGATCCAACCAAAATGTTAAAACATCTTTCATTGCAGCTACAACTTTTGGATTACGATAATTTAGATCTGGCTGTTTGACACCAAATTGATGTAAATAATATTGTTGGCGTTCATCATTCCATTCCCATGCACTATAACGAAAATCACTTCTCCAGTTATTTGGTGGTTGGCGTGTACCATTTTGATCTATTTTTCCATCATGCCACACATAATAATCGGTATATGGTTCAATACGTTTAATGGATTTTTGGAACCATTCATGTTCATCACTTGTATGATTTGGAACAAAATCCAAAAATATTTTTAATCCAAGTTCATGAGCTTTTTCTAAAAGTCTTCTAAAATCGTCTTTTGTTCCATATTCTGGTTGAACTTCATAATAATTAGATATGTCGTAGCCGAAATCAGCCATAGGAGATTGAAACATTGGAGATAACCACGCTCCAGTCATACCAATTGATTTAACATAAGGTAATCTTTGGGTGATACCTGTAAATAAAATATACGATGCAAATATTTAACTTTCATCATCATAACTTTTATCGGGAAACTTTTCATTCACCACTGGTAAAGTAAATTCAATTTTTTTTTCAAGTTGAAAATAGAACAAATGCAACTTTTTCGCTGCGAAATTTCAGAATTCATATAGAATGCACATATTTAAATTGGACTGCACATTGTATATACAGTTTCATTTTATCGTTCTGCCGTTGTCTCGCTACATTTTAAAACCTTCCTTTTTAACCGTTTAAATGAATAAAGTATAAGTCCAATAAAAATCAGATTCATATACAAAATGAATATGTTGTTTAGCCAGTTGGTAAGCTAAAGTGATTATTGCGTTGAAACTTTCCTATTACAATTATCATCTATTAATTACTTGAATATAACTTGCTTATCATATCATAGCTACTAAATTCTCTTTTTAGAATTCTAAATTCGCTAAATAGATTTAAGATAAGTTGTCCAATCATATACACAAAGATGTGCAAAGATGTGATTACACAAAGATGTAATCACAGTTAAAAGATTAAACGGTAATGACGGGAATTTAAAATGATTTTAAAAATACTATATTTACAGAATTAATATTTAATTTTCAATATCCAAAAATGGTTTTTGGGAGAGTTATTAAAATCGATTTTTAAAAGAAATTTTGAAAGAGAGATACAAGTAAAATACCAATAACAAAATATATCTCACCATTTAAGTCACCAATACCATCTCCGTCACTATCCATAAACGATCTTGGGTATATTTGATAGAAATTTCCATTAATCCACCAATCTTTTGCACTTGCTTCACAATAATAAAAGATTGTGGCTAACAATAGAATAGCTGTTATTAATTTCATCTCGAATGATTGTGATGAATATTGTTTTATTGTTCTCTATGAACAAAATATGAAAAAATAATTTTTTTTTCAGGATTGATTTACATCAATATATTATGGATTATACAAAACTTAAATTTTTTTTTTATTCAAAATTTATTAGGATTTAATAAACTATAAAGTTATTTAATTTGGTATTATTTTCTATTATATTTAAAGAACAAACACTATTCAATCAAATTCAATTGAATGATGTTTTGTTGGAAAACTATATGAGGGATTTATATACTAATGCTCTAGTTGCAAAAACACAATAAAATATTTGCATTGAATTTTTTATGTTAAAAAATTCTGTGTAGTTTTTTATTTATACAGCTTTTTTATTTAAAATTTACATGAAAATAAAGAAAAACAATTGGTGAAATTTGAATAATGAATTCGTAAAAAAAAATAAGGTTACTTGTAGGATTATTCATTAGCAAACATTTACTAAACAAGAATTTAAAAACAAATTTCGGTGTAATTTCTATAGTATATTAGAATCGTATTTACCATTATTCCTACAGTACATAAAAACGTACAATATTCATTAACATTACCGCATTTATGTTTACTCATAATCTATATAAATTTAAATCAAATTTTTGTAAACACATAGCGCAAAATTTTAAATATTATTTAATTACATGCCATCTTTTTTTAATAAAAAACTACAGAAATTAATATTTTGTTTAACATAAAATATGTAGAATATAAACATAATTATATTTTTGCTAATTAATTTCATTTCTGAACATGTGAAAAGTTTGAGAGAAAAGATGATCTTATCATGAAAAATTAGTAGGGAATACGAGGGTCACTATTTATATTTCGGGTCTAGCAATAAAAAACAAACATTTATCATTGGAAATGGTTTTATTGTTTTTCAAAATATTCCCCATGAAGATCAATACACTTTTGCATGCGCTGAAACCAATTTTCGTAGCACTTTTTCCACTCCGATTGAGACACCTCCAAAACATGGTTTTTGAACGCATCGACTGCTTCTTCAGGTGTTGAAGATCGTTGTCCACGCATTTTTTTTTTGATGTGAGGGAATAAGAAGAAGTCATTGGGTGCTAAATCAGGACTGTACGGCGGATGACCCATCAATTCGACATTTTGAGTGCCCAAATAGTCCATTGTTTCAGCTGATTTGTGAGAACTTGCATTGTCATGATGAAGAATGATTCGCCGGCGCTTGTTTGTTTTCCTTATTTCTTCGAAAACTTTCGGCAAACAGATGGTGGTGTACCATTCAGAATTGACCGTCCTACGTTCCACTAAAGGTACTGTGGCCACATGACCGGTTATACCAAAAAAAAACGCGATCATTTGCACTAGTATTGCCAGGACCCGAAATATAAATAGTGACCCTCGTATTAGCCTATTAAATTATTTTCTTTCAAATTAGAAATTATCTCAAATGGAGAATTAAAATTAATAGTCTTCAAATTAGGATTTATCGCAAATAGATCAAAAAATATTTAAACGCTAGGCGACGAGCAATTTTTTAAAATGAACTTTTAATATGATAATATAAAAAATTTCGATATTTCAATTTTGTATCATGAATTTTAATTAATTATGATATTATTTATTCTTTCTCTATGTTTTGAGACATTGTTAAGTGTCATTTATTATTTAAGTTTTACTTAAAACATACCAGATTTTTTTTTAATGCTTTTCAATAGAATTTTCTTCTTCATTAAGGATCATTAACTTTTCATCTTAATTATTTTTTGCTGGAAAAATAATTAGAATAATTAGGTAATTTTCTGTATTTTCACTTTAAAGAACTTTTTTAAAATTTCTCAAAATTATGGTAATCTTTCATAGTAGAATGTTTTTAAAACTTAGAAATTATTTTTTTACTAGATCTAATTATTAAATTTTTATTTAGTTCCTCTTTTAAGAGTCGCACTGAAAAATCAATTATTCAGGATGTTCATTAGAATCAAAACGCACTTTTTCAAATAAAATACAAAGTTTTTAGTGAAAACCTTTAAACTAACATTAAAAGCTTATAACATTTTGTTTACATAATACCGAAATAGAATTACAGAACATTCAACATAATTTTAAAAATCCCCATATTATTTTAACTGTAAAGCTACCAATCATATACCGTGTGACTAAAATTCTAAATACTAAATTTTCATTTAAGTCATTCATAATTCATTTACTTCTTTAGTAATTTTTCAATTAATAAAATTGAATTAAAGAAGGAAGAAAAAAAAATTAAGAAAAAGTGCTTTAACAGAAAAGGATGAAAAAAAAATCCTTAAGGCAATTCACTGTCATGTACAATTTAAACCCAATTAGAATGTACTAAAATAAATCTTTATAACAACCTAAAATGTTGTTTTAAAAGGATTAAGAGGAATCCATTTTATTATACACTTATAATGAAATTATTTTTCACCTCTAAATTTTGTAGAATTATATTATTTTTTTTTTTTTTTTTTGGAATAAAAGAAGAAAACAGAAGATAAAAAGAATTTTTAATCACTTGTCTACTACTTGTTGAATTTTCGAAAAGTTTTTAAGTAATTTAAAATTCTTTTGTGTTCTTAAATTAAAACAAAAAAAAACAATATACATTCCATTCCCTCGGGAGAATCAAATTAAAAATAAATCATAAATATAAGGAAATAAAGAAATATGAAATACCTGAAATAAAATAAAAAAGTTTTTGAAAGAAATGTTATAAAATATTTGGTTTATTTGTACACGAACGGGAATATAAATAAATTCACTACTTTTAATTATTACGTAGTGATAAGAGAAAATATGGAAGAAAAACTATGGCTCGATACAATAAGATCACGATATGTTGATTAAGTTTGGGAATGTGATTGTAGTTTGACTACAATTCAATAACACCGTAATAATAATTTCAAGACAAATAACGACAACTAAATATGTCTGTGTAATATAAGTATAGTATATAGAAAATTGGAATGTTTTGGGTTAGTACAATAGAGTTTCTGAAATAATGACACCAGGGGGCAGGTAATATTTTTTAAAGAATTATAGTCAGTTTCTGTGCAGATTTATCTCATAAATTTAAAAAGAAAAATATTAGTAGTTGGACAAAATCGTAAAAAAGTATTTTGTGCGCTTCGAAATTTCAACTAAATGCGTGTAAATTTCAAATTACAAAGGTACGCAGCTAAGAGCTCCTTCAGTAAATATTCAATTCCCGAACCTTGATTTCTCAGAAATATTAATGCTTTCATTTCAAAATGAAGATAAAGCTTTCTTGAAATGTCAAGAAAATTCAAAAAATTATTATCTTAAGCATGATCACAACAACATCAACTTAAAACAACAGCTAATTGCTAGAATATGCAACAAGTTAAACTAAAATCATAAAATTAAATTTTCTTGGAAAAAAACTAAACCAAAATAGAAAGAAACGAGAGCACTTGATTAAAAACAGTTATCTTGTACTTTTCCTTTACAGAAAAGTACGTTTTATTTACAAACTTAGCACTAGAAATTTTTTGGGAGAATACTACAGTCATTATTTTATTCACATTATAATATTATTTTAACATTTTTATCTAATTTTAAAAATAAACAAATTCTTTAATGAAGAAACGATTTCAGTACTTTTACGGTTAATAAACTATGGGACAAAATAAAGAGATAGGTCTGGAATAGTGTTATATAGAAAAGAAACTATAACTCCATAAGATAAAAAATTAAATAACTTAAAAATAGATTTAAAACATTAAAGGAAACCAGGCAAAAATCATATTTAATATTATTAAATTTAATATATTATTTTTAATACTTGCCCCAATATTCTGCAGTACATAACTATTTATTTTGCAGTTCACAATACGGTACATAACTATATTTATTTTGCTTTATTGATTCCATTTTGTGCATGATAATTGTACGCTACCCATAATATATTCTACAATGTACATATGTGCATTGTCTCTCTATAGTACACAATGAAAAATAATCCATATTATAAAATATGATTAAACATTTTAATCTATTGTTGAACAAAACAATAACTACAATGAATTTAATTTAAAATAAACAAATAAAATTGTTTTTTTTTTAACTCAAATGTATACACATATTTATGTATAAAGTAAAAAAAAAACCGATCTGACCAGCACATAACCGACCACAAGTTGTGTTTAGCGACAATGTTGCACAAGATTGTGAAAATTACCTGTAAATATTTCTTTCAAATTTTAAGAACTCTAGCCATCTTTTAGTTTACATTCTCAGAAATATGTGAATTTGGCGCTTAGTAGAGTTTTACTTTATCCATCTAACAAACAGAAATTAATGCTGCTTCATCATTTGAATTCGATGATGAAGCAACAAACAAAACTCAAATATTAACTTCTAAGAAATTCCTTCAATTTGTATCTTAGATATGATAAAAAATTTAAAATCAGTCCTTAAAAAAGGTTCAGTTCAGGACGCCTGACGAATTCCAAAAAAATCATCAATCCGTGACATAGCGAATCTAAACTCATATATTATAATAAACTCATATACTTTTAATCAAAATCAGTTTAGCATAACTTGAGACGCACACATTAACTAAAAACTCCAAAGACTGACCGACCGATACCTCGCTAAAAATAGTTTATCTACGCAGAAGTGCGTTTTTACCGAAAACTTGACATGCAAAATTCGATACCAACACATCACCACCCTTATTGTATGCAATTCGGTCGATAATAAGACAGTGGAATCAATAACTTATACAAAATGACAGCTGTTTGACATGAACTGCATTTTATTTTGAAAAAAGAAAGAAAAAAGTAAAGAAAAACAAAACATTATCTATTGAATTATTAATATTTAAATTTTTTTTTTTCCAAGAGAATGAATAATTAATTTATTTAAATGACGTATGTATGTTTGTATGTCAGTAGGTACGAGTACATTGATGCGGGATTAAAACCTTAAATATTTTTGAAAAGAACAATGGCAAGTTTAGTATGTGTGTATATGTATATGTATGTAAGTTACAATATGTTATGTAAGGTATATAATATGGGTATACAGATGTACTAGTATATAATATTACCATATTATTATAATTCATTTATTTAATTTGATATTTTTGAAAAGTATTTATTATTCATTTTTAATACATGTATGTGTGAATATTATTTGTAACTTCTTGCAGCTGCTAA